GAATCTAAGGGGTAAGATTTTGACATGAATTTCGACCAAAATTGACGTAGTCAGATTTGAATGCCAGATTATTTAAGAGGGAAAACTATGCATAAAAAGCCAAACCTCGTGAAAATCGGATGAGATTTGACCGAGTTATGGGGATCGGAAATTTTGACCCATGTCTATATGCGAAACTAAGGGGTAAGATTTTGACATTAATTTCGACCAAAATTTACGTAGTCAGATTTAAATGCCAGATTATTTAAGAGGGAAAACAATGCATAAAAAGCCAAACTTCGTGAAAATCGGATGAGATTTGACCGAGTTATGGGGATCTGAAATTTTGACCCATGTCTATATGCGAAACTAAGGGGTAAGATTTTGACATGAATTTCGACCAAAATTTACGTAGTCCGATTTAAATGCCAGATTATTTAAGAGGGAAAACTATGCATAAAAAGCCAAACCTCGTGAAAATCGGATGAGATTTGACCGAGTTATGGGGATCGGATATATTAACCCATGTCTATATGCGAAACTAAGGGTAAGATTTTGACATGAATTTCGACCAAAATTTACGTAGTCAGATTTGAATGCCAGATTATTTAAGAGGGAAAACTTTGCATAAAAAGCAAAACTTCTTGAAAATCGGATGAGATTCGACCGAGTTATGGAGATGGGAAATTTCGACTTATGTACATATACGAATCTAAGGGGTAAGATTTTGACATGAATTTCGACCAAAATTTACGTAGTCAGATTTGAATGCCAGATTATTTAAGAGGGAAAACTATGCATAAAAAGCCAAACCTCGTGAAAATCGGATGAGATTTGACCGAGTTATGGGGATCGGAAATTTTGACCCATGTCTATATGCGAAACTAAGGGGTAAGATTTTGACATTAATTTCGACCAAAATTTACGTAGTCAGATTTAAATGCCAGATTATTTAAGAGGGAAAACAATGCATAAAAAGCCAAACTTCGTAAAAATCGGATGAGATTTGACCGAGTTATGGAGATGGGAAATTTCGACTTATGTACATATACGAATCTAAGGGGTAAGATTTTGACATGAATTTCGACCAAAATTTACGTAGTCAGATTTGAATGCCAGATTATTTAAGAGGGAAAACTATGCATAAAAAGCCAAACCTCGTGAAAATCGGATGAGATTTGACCGAGTTATGGGGATCGGAAATTTTGACCCATGTCTATATGCGAAACTAAGGGGTAAGATTTTGACATTAATTTCGACCAAAATTTACGTACGAATCTAACGGGTAAGATTTTGACATGAATTTCGACCAAAATTTACGTAGTCAGATTTAAATGCCAGATTATTTAAGAGGGAAAACTATGCATAAAAAGCAAAACTTCGTGAAAATCGGATGAGATTTGACCGAGTTATGGGGATGGGATATATTAACCCATGTCTATATGCGAAACTAAGGGTAAGATTTTGACATGAATTTCGACCAAAATTTACGTAGTCAGATTTAAATGCCAGATTATTTAAGAGGGAAAACAATGCATAAAAAGCCAAACTTCGTGAAAATCGGATGAGATTTGACCGAGTTATGGGGATCTGAAATTTTGACCCATGTCTATATGCGAAACTAAGGGGTAAGATTTTGACATTAATTTCGACCAAAATTTACGTAGTCAGATTTAAATGCCAGATTATTTAAGAGGGAAAACAATGCATAAAAAGCCAAACTTCGTGAAAATCGGATGAGATTTGACCGAGTTATGGGGATCTGAAATTTTGACCCATGTCTATATGCGAAACTAAGGGGTAAGATTTTGACATGAATTTCGACCAAAATTTACGTAGTCAGATTTAAATGCCAGATTATTTAAGAGGGAAAACTATGCATAAAAAGCAAAACTTCGTGAAAATCGGATGAGATTTGACCGAGTTATGGGGATCGGATATATTAACCCATGTCTATATGCGAAACTAAGGGTAAGATTTTGACATGAATTTCGACCAAAATTTACGTAGTCAGATTTGAATGCCAGATTATTTAAGAGGGAAAACTTTGCATAAAAAGCAAAACTTCTTGAAAATCGGATGAGATTCGACCGAGTTATGGAGATGGGAAATTTCGACTTATGTACATATACGAATCTAAGGGGTAAGATTTTGACATGAATTTCGACCAAAGTTTACGTAGTCAGATTTGAATGCCAGATTATTTAAGAGGGAAAACTATGCATAAAAAGCCAAACCTCGTGAAAATCGGATGAGATTTGACCGAGTTATGGGGATCGGAAATTTTGACCCATGTCTATATGCGAAACTAAGGGGTAAGATTTTGACATTAATTTCGACCAAAATTTACGTACGAATCTAACGGGTAAGATTTTGACATGAATTTCGACCAAAATTTACGTAGTCAGATTTAAATGCCAGATTATTTAAGAGGGAAAACTATGCATAAAAAGCCAAACTTCGTGAAAATCGGATGAGATTTGACCGAGTTATGAGGATGGGAAATTTCGACTTATGTACATATACGAATCTAAGGGGTAAGATTTTGACATGAATTTCGACCAAAATTTACGTAGTCCGATTTAAATGCCAGATTATTTAAGAGGGAAAACTATGCATAAAAAGCCAAACTTCGTGAAAATCGGATGAGATTTGACCGAGTTATGGGGATGGGATATATTAACCCATGTCTATATGCGAAACTAAGGGTAAGATTTTGACATGAATTTCGACCAATATTTACGTAGTCAGATTTGAATGCCAGATTATTTAAGAGGGAAAACTATGGATAAAAAGCAAAACTTCTTGAAAATCGGATGAGATTTGACCGAGTTATGGAGATGGGAAATTTCGACTTATGTACATATACGAATCTAAGGGGTAAGATTTTGACATGAATTTCGACCAAAATTTACGTAGTCCGATTTAAATGCCAGATTATTTAAGAGGGAAAACTATGCATAAAAAGCCAAACTTCGTGAAAATCGGATGAGATTTGACCGAGTTATGGGGATGGGATATATTAACCCATGTCTATATGCGAAACTAAGGGTAAGATTTTGACATGAATTTCGACCAAAATTTACGTAGTCAGATTTAAATGCCAGATTATTTAAGAGGGAAAACTATGCATAAAAAGCCAAACCTTGTGAAAATCGGATGAGATTTGACCGAGTTATGGGGATCGGAAATTTTGACCCATGTCTATATGCGAAACTAAGGGGTAAGATTTTACGTAGTCAGATTTAAATGCCAGATTATTTAAGAGGGAAAACAATGCATAAAAAGCCAAACTTCGTGAAAATCGGATGTGATTTGGCCGAGTTATGGAGATGGGAAATTTCGACTTATGTACATATACGAATCTAAGGGGCAAGATTTTGACATGAATTTCGACCAAAATTTACGTAGTCAGATTTGAATGCCAGATTATTTAAGAGGGAAAACTATGCATAAAAAGCCAAACCTTGTAAAAATCGGATGAGATTTGATCGAGTTATGAGGATGGGAAATTTTGACCTATGTCTATAAAGGGCATTTGAGGGATTCATGTTAACATACATTTTGATCAATAATAAGTCAAGAGTATTAAGGTCAAGTGTTATACACTTAAAACCAAACTAATTTGTGCTCTCATATCCCTATTATTTGAATTGTCTAAGTTCTTATTGCCCATTGCCCCATTCCTTGTTCCATTTCCATTTTGTTCCATTTATATTCGACGCGAGCTGGGCGAGTACTTGAACAAATTACCGCGCCCAGCATTAATCAGCGTCAATAGAATCCTTTGTCTAAGCAAGCGCGTCAGCTATTTTTTGTCCTTCCGCTCTATTCGTAAACTCTATTTGCTTATATCATTTTGGCCATTCTCCATTGGATTTGTTGCCCTTTTACTTCTCCCTTTATTTTGTTTTTGTGTGTGTTGGTGACAAGGTCTGACGAATGACTAACGGTGAAATATGCTCGACAAACATAAATTCGTGTCCGTTGGGATTTGTGAACTGGTGGAGCGAGCATGTCAATGGGAACTGGTTCGCATTTGGGTTTGTTTCGGCGCACGGAGTTGGGGGCCATCTGCTGTGAGTGAGACGTTGCCGTCAGAAACATATAAAAAAAAAAAAAGGAAAAAAAGAAAACATTGCCAGCAAAAAGCCAAGGTGCAACGTTTTGTTGACAGCGAATGGGATGAGTTGGAGCAGCTGGCAGGTTATGCCTTGTGCCAGGTGCGTGCACGAAACTGTCATGAAAATTCTACAGTTTTTCGCATTTCACACACAAAGCACGACGCCCACCGCCCACCGCCCACCGCCCTCCGCCCACTTGTCACACGCAAAGAAAAGGCAACAGTTCTGATACAGATGGATACATGTTCGAATCTTTTATCGCAACTAGAAGTTTTGAAAAACTTTGCGTGTCTTGAAATGACATATGAACATAAATATTTATATAGATCAAATCTAACACGCACAACTTTAACGACTTACCTGCAACATTCTCGTGATTGTCCTTTTCGTTTTTTTGTCCAATATTACCTCGTACAGATGTCAGTCTGCATAAAATCCTTTGAAAATAAAAACGGCTTGGTAACATTGTTTAAAGCTGCTTTTGTGACGTCATAATAAACAGTGTGACCCTCACAGAGGCTGTAAAAGTCAACAATTTACATTTTAAGCACTGGTGGCAACGCCGCGAAACATAGAAATTTATATTAACTCTTCAATAGAAACGACTTTCTAGTTTATTCGGATTATTTTATTAAGTCTCAATTATGTACAAAATGTACAAAATACAAATATAAATGTTCAGCTGGTGCTGTGTTGCATTCACTAAAGCTGGCAGTGATGATTCTTTCATAAGGGCAGTTTCGTATGCTCTATTTAATTGAAACCGAAATATATTTTGCATCTTAACTTATCTACTCTTTACCGAATTGAGGTAGTCTTGGGATAAATATATCGTTTGTATATATTTAAGGCCTGCAGTGGGACAGTTGTGGAAAATTTGGAATAATTCTTTCTCGGTTTCGAATTATATTAGCAGCATTTAAACTAGTTTATTTGACGGCTTCTTAATGCTTTAAACTTTTCAATTAAAGTTGATTATGCTTTTTGCTTAAACTTCTAAGAAAAAAGAGTCATTATATGAGTATTTCGAATCCATTGAGCATATAAATCTAGTCAGTTCCGATGATCTCTTGTAAATACATATTTTTCTCAACGATTTCAATTGAATTTTGTTTTCTTTACCAAAATTTTGTACTTTGAAACGAGACATGTAAATATCGAAATTCTAGCCTAGAGTAGAACGAGAAATTGCGTTGATTACGTATAGAAAAGACGATTGTCTATATACAAATGCACATATATATATATATATATATATATAGATATATATATGTCGTATGTCTGTACGTATATTGCACGCAGTAAATGAACTTACAAAAACAATTGAATAGAAACTATAAACTTATTCACTGTCCAGTTGGCAAACAAATAAACTAAATAACAAAAAACTTCAACGAATCGCAAAACAAAAATCAATAATTCTAATCATCAGAGCTCTTTCTGCTAGACTTGAAAGTCATTAAAGTACGTTTGGGTGAAGCGTATCTTCTCTACGCGCATATTGAACAGCGTCACACCGTTGAGCACATTGAAGGCGACCGCAAAGACGACCAGGGCCATATAGGTGCCCAGCGCTATCCACCAGAGCAGCTGCTCATGCAGTTTCTGCTCAAAGTTCTTGAGCACCAGAAGTCCGATGGTTAGACCCGCCACGGCGCCCGCCAAATGGGCCACATACGAAACGGCCGCTGGGCTGGCGGCTAACTGTCCGGGCGGCAAATCCTCTCCAGCGTAGCGCGCATAGATGGCGAAACCGAAGTCAAAGGAGGCTGCAAGCGCAAAAGTTTAAGGAACCACAAATCACAGCACAATCAAAACAAACTTCAAGCCCTACCAAAGATTAATATAAATGCCAGGCGTACCACGCCGTAACGCATCTGATGATAGTTGATTAGCACATTGGCCAGATGCGCCGCCAATAGGGCATAAACGCCGCCGCTGGCGCCAACCAGAAACACCTCAGGATCAAAGATGCTGGTGCCCAGCGAACCGGCCAGCACGCCCGAGAAATAGATGCAGGCGATGCGCGTCGAGCCGTGCACCATTTCCAGCGGCAGACCGAAGAGCAGCTGAACGACCACGTTAAAGCCCAGATGAAACCAGCCGGCATGCAGCACCATATAGAGCACAAAACGCCAGATCTCGTGCCGTTTATCTGGCCGATAGATGAACATGGAATCGCTGGGTATGGGACCCGTTGGCGCCGCCTCGCCCGTGGCCAGCGTATGATACACAAAGAAGCCCAGCTGTCGATTGCAATACAGATTTACAGTTTTCCAGATTCAGTTTTCCATCGAATGGCAGTTAATGTTGTGTTGTTAAACCCACCTCTACGATTGTGATCAGGATGATGAAAATTGGCGGCGGGCAACATGTATAGCGATCCGCATAGTATTTACGATCGCGCTCCTCCGGCAGCACCTCCAGGGCGACCGCATGGACCATCTTCCTAAAGAGCGGCGGCTCGCTCAGCACCAGCTGAAAGTCGTTCTCAGAGCAAACCTCACGATCCCGATGATGAACCGCGCATTTAAAGCTGCGCGTTCGCTTGCCGCTCATCTGCAACACGCCGGAAAAATCAAGCACATATTGAGTTATTATATAGTTATCCACAGATTTGTCCTATTTGGCATCGTTGAGGTCGAATCCAAAATAAGCAGAATTTGAAGATCACGAAAATCCATGAAGTCCATAAAAACATAATATTACATACAAAAGGACCGAGGGAACCGAATTTTAAAACAATCATAATCATAAGATGAACTAGTTTTTGTCGAGCTTGGAACTGATTCTGGACGGAGAACAATTTGGAGGTTATTTTTCAACACTATTTGCGGCAAAAGCTAAACAGAGCGAAAGATAAGATAAAACGCAGCCACACTAAATCAATTTTGAACCAGTTATTGTCGAGCTTGGAACTGATTCCGAAATTAGAACAATTTGTAGGTTCATTTTCAACACTTTTCAAGCATATGCCAAACAGAGCGAAAGATAAAGCCACAATAAATCTCTAGGTGTATGTTCCAATTGGACCATGCTCTAGGTTTCTTCACGTTCCAATTGGACATATCTGTCGGCCAAAATCAGCAGAAACATTTATTTTAACCCCAAAACTAAACGAGCCATAAAATTATGAAAACGATTGTACGAAAAAAAAAACTCAGGGACTGACTAAACTAGAGTTAGGACCGAGGAACTTACAAAACGAAATAATTTTTATTATGTAATTAAGATGTTCACATCAGATGCACGCCGGGCGGACCAATTAAGACGCGCTCATAAAAACTAACAGCAAAAATAACAACAAAAAAACAGCACAAAAATCTGCAAAAGGCGGAAAATGTGTATTGTGTTTAATTAAAACTGAGACTGCGACAGCCAGACAAGAAAATCCAAATGAAGCCTACGCGCAATTAAAATTCACGATTACGAAATGCGAAGCAAGAAAAAACAAACTAGACACTTTTCAAAATTGCCCGACTAGCAAAATGAACATGTTTCATTTCATAAGTAGCCATATTTGCTGTTTACATACATTTACGTATGATACCCAGCTTGGGCATTTGCCGAACTGCAGGGTATACAAGCAAAGCAAAAACAATCCACAAATTAAGCTCGCAAACTAAATGGGCAAAAGGGAAGGCGAATAAAATAGTTACTTCCGCTCGCAACCGCAACATGGTTGTTGCGGTCACCGCAACGGGGCCGTGGGAGGTAACAATAATAAGTGTCGCTGCTAGTTAGCCGCGCGACAGTCTAATATTAGTAATTATCAAATTTGTTTTAATTGATGAATCGCCTGCGGTGCCCATAAACTTGCATTTATATTCTCTCCTTCTTCCACACTCCTACCCAAACGCAAGGTGGCAACGCTTCAGAAGTGCACACTTGCGCACACACACACACACACACAGGCACACACGAATAAGCTAATTAATGCATGGGTAAAATCACAATTATAACGGCATTGTGTTTTCATTGAAAACGCGTGCTTAATGGAAAATAAAACTATTTTACAAAAGCAAATATATCTTATCTACATGATTTGTATATTTTTGCAGCCTACTTACGCAATGAACTTGTAACTTGGCGCGCTTTTAGTTTATAAAACTGACACAATTCCCAGCGGCACTTATAATTTTTTAACGACTTGTATAGCGCGATAACATAATACTCAATATTGCATTTAAGCCACAATTAACGCAAGTACATAAAACATTTAATTTACAACTTTTATATAGCCCATTGACAAAGTCGTCACCACCGCGATGTGCTTAACTTTGCGATCTTTGCTTTGCGTTTTCTTTTTTGCCGGCGTTGCCCATTTGCTGCCCACCCAGAGTTGCATTGGCATTATCTCTCCACTCTTTATGCACACTTCCGAAATAATTCAAATAGGGCATGTTTTACTTCCGATTTGTCGTTTCTACGTATTAAATTGTTAGCTGTTGACAAAGGATTTGAGCCAAGAACAATGGAACACCCAAATGCATTGTGAAATTGTGATAAATCTGGTTTGGCCAACATAACAAGAGATCAAACGTTGAGGCGACAACAAAATAGGACCAATTGCCTCCGCCGCCGTAAAATTTCTAACAAATAAAATGTTTATCATTTGTTTTGTGACATGCACGACGGGTGTGCGAATTACATTGAGCCCTGGTCACTGCCGACGTCGTCGTCCTTTTGCGGCCTGGGCCTGATAATGACATTACCAAGCGGCCCAGCACCGCATGACGTCACGATGCGGCCAGCCCAGGTATACATATACATATGCATGTACATATGCTGGATACCTTAACTGTATTACTACCCATTTCTATTTATGCTTCATTCACAGTGGCGAGTAGAATGTGTGGCAACGTTGTTTTTAGGTCACAAACATAAAGCGACAAATTGACGCAAAACATATAACGCACTCCTCCGCCCCGGCCACGACCACGACCACGGACAGCCAACAACCAGGACATGGTCAACATGGGTACAGATGGACGGCGGCGGCGTCTCTTTATAGAGGAACACCTAGGAAAAAATTCCCTTGAATTACGTTGTTGCACCCTCTGTCTGCCTCTGTGCGTGTGTGTGTGTGTGTGTGTGTGTGTTTGTTAGCCCTTGGGTTATGCGCAAAAAAGGACATCTTCGCTGGCGACGAAACGTTATGCACTCCATTATGCATTTTATGTGCCCTCATTGAGCGTGTTGACATTTTTATTCCAAGCAGTTAAGCAATATTTATAAACTGCCGCCCGCACGCGTATGGACCAGGTTATAGGCCAATAGACCATAAAAAAAAACCCTGGACAAGCTATCTGAATACTGGGTATAAATAGTGGACAGGCATGCTGAAACTTGAGCCTGAAAAGCTATTGGCAGCATGAAGAATATCTACAAATTCTGATAATTCATTGAAGATTCTTAAGCAATCTCTCGAAGACACCATAAAAACTGGGGTCCGCTTAGAAGAGCTTTTATGTATGTATATATATGTATTCCAATGCCATCTAATTAACACACAAATATTTTGGCAGCTTAAGACGGCGCTTATTTATTGTTTTTGGCCAGCTGCTTAGAGACACCTTGGAGCAGCATCAATGACCGTGGAAGCGCCTCATCTAATTGAATCACAATATTTTTTCAATTTGCATCGCTTGCCCTGGTTTGTGCAGGTGTAATCCGAAATGCAATCAACAGCTTTTGTATTATTTGGCGGCACTTGTTGTTCTTGCCGGTGTGGGCTTCGCCCGCCCAGTGCGCAATTTACCGGACAAATGATTTTTGGTGTAATTACCGAAAAGGTAGCGGCAAACGGTTTGTCTTTGTCGGCCTCTTGGCGTCTACTAATTATCACATTTTTACTCATTAAAGTCACATTTGCCTTGCAGGACCTGCCGTCGCTGCCGGCTCCTGCTGCTGTCAGATCCATCTCCTGCACACTTTGGCTAATTATAGGCCAAAAGGCAACGGCGTCTCCTGCTAGGTAATCAGCCTTTCAGTCGTTTTGGCTACTGTACTGGATGATGATGATTGATTAGCCCATTGCACTGATGAGCTTCTTATGTGGGCCAAGCGAGCAGCCAACCAAGCCAAGTCAAGCGGGTTTCTTTTGCATCTGCTGGCTGCGACAACTGTGCAAATTTAGCGCGTGCCGGCAAAGAAAAACCTCACAGAGCAGCTGAAGCTGTAGCTGAAGCTAAACAACAAATCGAAAACTGATTTGGAGCGGAAGTTCGTTTGCACCTTTCTGCAGTTTCCTGTGTGCAGAGCAACAGCAACAGCAGCAGCAGCAGCAGCAGCTAAACACACTGCACTACACAAACAAACAACTGTATATATGCATGTCTATCGTATGTATGAATCGTATATAGCACACGCATGTCAAGACTTCATTTGTGATTTGCTTGCAGACGCGCTGCTTTGACGTTTGGCCTTTGACGCCGCATCTTTTGTCTTGGCGAGGGACGCGGCGCGGAGCGCTACATTTGCAAATCAAAAGCTATATACGCCTGGCTATATAGATTAAGATTGTGAGTGTGCCCTTTTGTATATGCGCAAGGATCTGTGCATATGCAAAGCGCTGCCAAGGAGCAGCTGTCGTCGTTGTTTGATTTGCGATTCGGCGGCTGGCGGAAATGGAATGACACGCAAGGCACAAAGGCAGCCCGGCAGCCCAGCCCAGCCAGTCAGTCAGCCACTCCACGTCATTGTTTGGCAGCTCGTCGCTAAAGATTGGCAAAATGGAAATGGAAGTGGAAGCAAAAAAAAAAAACCAAGGAAAAATAGTTTCCTTTTCAGATTGCCGAAGTTGAAATACTCTTAATATAAGCAAGCACCGTTGTGCATATATAGAAATTCAATTTCCGATCGATTTAGTCAATTGGAAGTCAGATGTTGACGCTAACAAATGTGATCTACATAATTAGTAGTCCTATCCTTGTCTGGAAGCAAGGCTGCTAGGCTTATAAATAGGGAACTAGGCCATGGCAAATACAATATAAGAACTGTTTTTGTCTTATTGGCCATGAGTTTTAAGAGGTTTTCAAAGAAGGAAACGAATTCTATTTTAGGCAATTCATTATAAGTACTTCATTTGTCTGTTGATGCGTAACACAATAAGTTAGAAGTTCATAATACTCTCATCTAGAGTACAAGAAGACTTTATTTCACTTAGCGCACGCATTGTTGGCAAACTAGGAGCACGCGGGCAGCCCCCTCGCTAATGCCAGAAACGGCGACTGCCTGCCAGGCTTACATATATATATATATATATATGTGTGTGTGTGTACACACGGTTTGTATGTCTAGTAATCGGATATCATTGCCACTGACTAACAATCAAAAATATTCTTTATAGAGTTTTCCGAGCGACTGCACACGGCAAACACGGCAATGCATCCGCCTAATACCCCTGGAGTCGTCCATGGTGCACAATCAGGGCGCGCGCGCGCTCAGCTGCCGTTGTTGCAACAAGGTGTAAACATGGCCAGCGCGTGTCCTAGGAGAGTGGCGCGCACTTGATGTCTCATTACCGGACGACAGCGCACACAGGTTAATGATGCGCACTCTGTGCCCGCGCCCGGACGTCACAATTATGCGAGGCACTTGAGCTTGAAGCGAGTGCACAGGGTCAGCCAGCACCATGATGTCGCTGTTTCATTGACCTTTGACGACTGCCAAAAAAAAAAAAGAGACAACTGAATTCAAATGCCATAGAGCTGGGTCGCGCCGCTTGGCCCAAAAACAAACATTTCCAGCTATGTTTTAAGTGCCGTCATAAATGTCAGGTGCGTTGGCCATTCCAAAATTTATTCAACATAATTAGTTGTGGCCATTACAGCAGTCGCTACACAATGTGCGGCAACTAATTTGATTTCAAACCTGGCCACTTGACTAATGAGCGGAGCACAAGGTCTACGCTTGCACCTAATACAAACACGAGGCAGGATCCCTGAACTCGGCAATGCTCTGTTCTAAGTTTGATAACAGTTTGATTTGAGTATTTGCTGGCCAACTATAGGAATATCAACCTAGCTGGCTAACTCTAAGACTATAAGCCCAAGTCTGTGGCTTTCAGACTGGAACTTGAAAATGTCTGTTGCAAGGGAGCGTGGTGGAAATATTTTTGGTTACATCTCTAGAAGATATTACAATTAATCTACTTGCCTATGGCTAACAGGGCTGTAAATCCGTTTGGATTGGAAACGAACTAATTACGAGCTGGATTACTTCATACTATGAAGTGACACTTAGATCAATCAAGAGCAATGCAAGTAAAAGAAACTTAAGATTCAGCACCAAAGCATAATCAGCTGTGGCCCCAAAGATTGGACTGATCTAACCATATTTGGTAGCTTCCAATTTCGGGCAGAGATCAAATATAGCCCGCATTAAAAATTATATTGTACGATACAACATTTGAAAAGATATGAAAAGGGCTTGAGCCAAAACCTACGTTCATGGATGTGATAAGCCAGGCTCAGGAAACGAATCTAGACAGGTAGCATTCAGACGGACGAAAGAACGAAAGGACTTCGCATAAGTTCACCAGGCCATGAACAGGGTATTGCTTCTGCCGCTGGTTATGTGACCAGCAAATGGTTATCAATAAATTCCAAAGCATTTACACCTGCAGCTGCCCCGCCGCTCAAAAATAAAGCACACAAATAAACAAAAAAACAAACTGCATAAACGTCTATATTTTGGCCAAGATATGAGAGCAGAGCGCGTGCTGGCCGCAGGATATCAATGCCGCCCGCTTACCCGCCCACCCACGAGCTGGCTGAAAAAGGGTTTAGGAAACGTTATCAGCACGTTTCGTGACTATGGCAAAAATATTGGAAAAGCGGCCGGAGTGTGAGGCTGTCTCTGTGGGAAAATGGACAGTTGCAGTTGGTGCTTTGCCAATTCGTGCTCACATCGTTATCCTTGCTCCGGATGCACAACAATCAAAATAAACTGCTGCCAAATTGACCATTGACCAAACATCGCAGCGCCAGCAACTGAAGCCCCTGGCCACGCCCTCCCCCCCCCCCCCTGTGCCTTGCTTGACATTGTCACGTCCTTGGCTGGGAGCACAAGTCAAAACGAGCAGCCGCAAAAATAAAAATTCTACAATTTTGTGTGTGTGTGTGTGTGGAAGCCAGGCACAATGGACAGATAGATGGATATATAATCGTGGGATGGAAGCTGTGCCTAAACGAAAACAACAATCGATTGGACTTAAAGCAGCGCAGCTTGTGGTTAACCCGAGAGCTGATAAGCTCTAGATAGTACAGATGATCTTTAATGGGTAACACAGCAAAAAATGACAATTTCTTTAATTGGAAAGAAATGAGAAGTAGAGGAGATATTGGAAGAGCTTAGTTCTATAAAGTATTACGCTCTTTAAGGCTAAATGTGCTTGAAATGAATATTAAACCATTAAGTAAAAGCAAGAGTCAGTTCCTGTCACGGAAATTGGAACGAGATCAAATTTGTTGACAATAAAAAAAAGAATCCCGGCAAAAAAATTCTTTACTAAACAGCAACGTAAGATACATTCCTACAGGGACTCGAGACAGATAAAAGAGAGAGCTTATAAATTTCGTCGAGGATTCCAGACTTTTATATAATAATTAACAATCTTTGGCATAATTAATTTAAGGCAGATAAACATATTCATGTTAAGACAGAAGCAAGCATTTCCCACCCCATAAAGTATATATAGTATATATTCTTGATCAGCGCGTCACAAGCTGAGTTGATCTAGCATTGATTTGTTATAAGAAATATTCGGATTTGATTCAAAAATTAGTTTCCAAATACATGATATATTGTTCCAACACTAAACCTATAATTTTGTTGCTTGTTATCAACATAGATCTCAGTGGAACCAAAAATCCAGTTACTAAGGTTAGTCTAATCTTGGCCGCAGCTTTGAAGAGGATTTATTGAATCAAATTGGAATAAAGTCTAGGTTCAGGTGAGGAGCCAAAGCACGTGGAGTTAATAATTTCTAAGATCTGTTTCGATCTAAGCTCTACCAAATGATCTGTTAGATCGAACCAAGTGATTCACCAACTAGTCACAATAGGCAGAGAAGTCTGGACAGCTTCTAGAATTATGATCCAACTTGGAGCTTGGAGCACATTCACACCTTGTCGTCGAACCGCTAAAGTTGTTGTTTAGCTGGAAATTGTTTGAGAGACAGCCGTCGGACATTGTAAAGTGGCCGTTTTTCATGCGATTTGTGATATTATTGTGGAATAATGAAATCGCTAAGAGATTCCAATAATACAATCGACGCGTCGTATGCACCATTTATGGATTGGCATTGATTTAATACCGCGTCTAGGCAGCAACAACTGGACAACTGAACCGAAGCCGCCAGATGACTAGCATCCCCAGAGTACGAGGCGCAAGGCATTTTGCACCTAGCAAACGACGCTGCGGCTCCAAAGTGCGCAGCTGATCTGATTCCGCCGCCTATCAGCGCTGCAAATCAGCAGAGCAGACGCCACCGGACTGGACTGGCTGCCATCCAGCAGCCTGGCTCGGCTTGGTCAATGTTTATTCAATAAACCCGATCGCAAACATCGCCAGCTGGCCAGCTTGGCATTCCTCTCCGTTCGCCCAGCCTCCAGACATTCAGCCCATTCAATACAAGCCGCTGGAATTTCTTGGTGCGTGCTCGGCACAGGTTCAGCTGGCCAGGCCAGGCCAGGCTTTTGGCGTCTGCCAGCTGCGAGCCGCGCTGCGTCCGCTGATTATGATAATGGAGGCGACTCGCGACTCTCGACTTGCGGCTTGCGGCTTGCGAGTGGCCGCCAATTGCTTTCGTTTATGATCGAATGCTTGGCAGCTCCGTTGACTTTCTGATTAATGCAAGAATTCTACGCAGCGTTCCTGCTGCTTCTCTTCTCTTCCATTTTTTTTTTCTTTTCTGCTCAGCCTGCAATTAAAACCCATGTACCCTTCGATGGCCAGCTAAATGGCAAGTGTGCAAATCATTATATACACACGATCATGCCGCAAATGCCTGATGAGCTTGAGCTGCAGCTCAAGGAGTTCCACTGCAGATGCGCCGGTTAAATCAAATCCTCAATTCAATTTAAAGGGTAAAGGCTGCAACTCCCTTTTTTCAATGATCAACCAAAGGCTAAACGAACCCGGAAGTGTATTCTTTTGAAGAAAAAAAAAACCAATCAAATCCTTCAGCAAACTTTCTCCAAATCTTCTGACAGAAATTTCAGCCGGGGCATCGATTTGAACTATAAAACGACATTAGTTTCAGCCCTGAACCGAATCCTCAGCCCGGAACTCAGTTCGAACCGCGAACCGAAACCGAGTCATCAATTGCGGAACTAGTTCGAACCGTAGACTGAACCTTCTGCAGGTTCCGTAAACCTAATCCTCAGCCAGCTTCTCAGTTCGAGCCGTCAACTAAAACTTCAGCCTAGGATTTAATTCGAGCCATGAACCGAACTCTAAGCCGTTGAACTAGTTCGAACCATAAACCTAACAGATGGTTCCAATTGTGAACCAAATCTTCAGCCAGGGAATTAATTCGAACCGTGAACCAAAACTTCAGCCAAGGCATAAATTTGAGTCATAAACCTTTAGAAATGAAACTGCTTCGCACCACAAACCGAACCTTTAGCCGGCCATAAGTTCCAATCGTGAACCAAATCATCAGCCAAGGATTCAATTTGAGTCGTGAGTCGTTCATCCTCGGCATAAGTTTGCAGCATGAACCAAACCTATAGCCGAGGTATTCGTTTGAACCGTGAACTACCAAGTTTTTCCAGCCCCACTTCATCAGCTAAGCAAAAAAAAAAAACACAGAGAAATCTACTTAAAACTGCAACTTTCCCTGTGGCGAGAGGGCATCAGTACTTCGGTCGGGTTAAAATTGTCTTGCCCGTTAAATTCTTGGACTCAGCTGCGTCTGTGACTGGTTCTGGCATCGCCTGCTGTGCGATGTGTGCCCTGGCCAGATGCTCCGCTGACGATCGACCGAAGACGGACGGACGACAGCCGAGAGCCTCGTGCCTGGAGTTGTCATAACGTTCAACACGTTTGCCCCTCGTCGCTCGCCTCGCACCGGCGCCGTCTCCGTCTCCAGCAGCCCAGCCGGCTGCGTCCCTGGCCAGCGCTTATGCGCTGCCATAAAAGGATTTGTCACGTGCGAGCTTTTGTTAAAAATTCAGCAATCATCGGGCAATCTCCATTGTATCGATGTCGCCATCGGGATCGGCATCGGGATTGCATTATGCATGTCACATGCGTCTCCTGGTCTCCATCGGTCTTGTCGGTCTCGTCGGCATTCCAGCTTTAATTCAAGCAGCGCCCCAAACAAGGACTTGCCGCAGCCACATTAGCCACCGGGCCGAACGCCTTACGCCCTCGACGGGCAGACCTCGGGCCAAGCCAATCATTGAAATTTATAATTAAGTGGAAAAATGTTGTGTAGTAATATTGTGGCCTAGGCGGCTGCTGGCGAGATCGTTCGGCTCTGATAAGCGTGTTGCCTGCTGTCACACCTTGGCCGAAGGACGCAGCGACAGGATCTGCGCGATTCCAAAGATAGCACTCTGGCAACAAGGGTGCTCCAGACGAACCTAGACCCAGCTCTCGATAGCAATGCTCAGTAGATGACATTGAAAACTATTAATATAACCAAAAAAAAAAAAACCCCGCTTCTTTCGATTTATGTATGGCTATGCGAAAGACCAAGAATTCAATTGGTTGTTCCTTTAACCTCAAACGACGTGCTTAACCTCAAAGTAGGAAAATTCAAAAAGGTTTTTTTTTTATTGATTTTCTTGTTTTGGGCGGCATCGACATGGGGACATAGCTATTATTTTGGGAAGAAGCTGCATATGTTGAACATTTTAGATCACTAGGTTTTATAATTAACCCATTCAGCGTGCTTAACCTCAAAAAAAGTTTATAATATTTTCTGTAATGGGCTGAGCTATTAAAAAAATGCAAAATAAGTTAAATATGCCTTGCTGGAATGCGAAAGTCAAGTTTTCCAGTCGTCCCAAGTTTTCTATTTTAAATGCCTCTTAGATGTTCTCGTACCTAACCTCAAAAATTGTACCTAACCTCAAATAGCAATTGTTTCGTACACTGATTTGAGTAAATGGAATGAGCTGTTGTATTTTATAATATACCTAGGATATGCGAGGGTCGCAAGATAACTTAGGTTTTAACCTCAACAAAAGTCAGCTCGCAATAATCGTAAGAACTTCGATAGACATTGCCTATCCATTTTAACATTTTCAAAGGGTATACAAATAGCTGAAAACAAACGCATTTAGAGCCCAGCCTACGGAAGCTAATGCCCATAACAGATCTCATCAACGACACATTATGAGCTGGACCACAGGACAGCCGAATTAACTGTGCCATTGACAATTACCGTTACGTACACACACACACACACACACACACACACACACACACACACACACACACACCCACACACAAACAAACACACACACACGCACACACACAAGGGTAAAGGAACCTGGCTAATTCATGACTTTGAGGAGTCTTTAGCAAACAATTGAGAAGCAAGGCGAGGGCAAAATACACTTGACATTCATTATGCACATGTGTGTGTGTGTAAATGTGTGTGCTTGTGTGTGTGTGTGTGTGCGTGTCAATCAAGCGTAGAGTCAATCAAATTGCAATAGAATTGTCAATGGCAACGGCAAACAGTGAAAAAGTACTTGAAAAGAAATGTTGTCAACTACTCAGAGAATTCAGCAATTTGCCCAAGACCAGAAGAAGAAGAAGAACTTCAGAGTAAGCCACATTGCCCTAATCCAACACAGCGCCCGAGTCCATGTTGTTGTCCAGATAAACAATGTTCAAACGGGCAGCAGGGCGTGTCCTAACAGGACGAAGGTGCATTTATTTGGCGAGTGCGAATGGACTTTTTGCATTTGCCACAGTGCAAACAAAAATTAAAAGAAGTTAATAACATGGCAACGACTGCGAGATACTCTGTTTGTAGTGTACCAGGGCTACAAGCCACGTTTAAATGGAACGAGTGACAACTAGGAAATAAAATTTATATGTTTCAATATGAACCAAACCCTAAGCTAGGTTCACAAGCAGAACCAATAGACAGGAACCAAGAACCGAAACAGCGACAACTTTTCTTAGCGTTTGCAGCCCTAGTAATGCCTCTTTAAACAGTTAGAAAAAAAAAACTCCTGGCTCATAAGGCGAGCCAATAGGAAGGGAGTTGGTTTGAACCAGGAACCGAACCAATGACAAATTTCATTTGATTTTGCAGCCCTGGTAATTCGTCCTTGAACAGTTAGAAAAGAATTTCAATGACTCAACTCCAACCAACCTCAACAAACCTTCAAGAAGATCTTGGCTCAGGAGCCGAACCAATAAGCAGGGAGTTGGTTTGAACCAGAAACTGAACCAGCGACAACTTTTATTTGCATTTGTAGCCCTGGTAATGCCTCTTTAAACCTTCAGAAACGAAGTTTGAAGACTCAACTCCAACCAACCTCAACAAACCTTCAAGAAGCTCTACTCTCTAGCTCTAAAAACGAGCGCAGCACTAAACCAATATGCCCTTTTTAACTTCATAAACAGGGTATAGCAAGAGTGCAGTAGTCCGTCCGCCCGTGCTGTGATTTGTATTTGAACACGAGCCTACACTTTGCCGGGTCAGCACATGGCACATGGCACATGGGTAAATGGGTGCATGCACCTGTGTTTGCACTTAAATCCTGTTGTTTGTTTCGTGCGGCACGAGATGCCGCACATGGGGCACATGAGAATTCGATTTAGATGCACTTACCACGTTGACAAAGTCCTGGAACGTAACGTAGCCGGGCCCATGGGGCAGTTGGGCCTTCTTGGACCGTTCCAACAGCAGTTCACGCTTATTCATAGGCACTTGGGATAGAAATTCGGGAGATCTTAATGCGACCAAAAATTCTGTTACGGATATTTCGCCAAAACCCTCCGGATCGAACTGTCAAGGAATATAAATATATAAATAAACGTGTGCATAAGAGTTTTGCTCAACTTTTACTCACCATATCGAATAAAAGCTTCCATTTCTGTTTGGAAGAAAGTATCAAAAGAATTAAGTTCGTTTTTAATTAATTTAAAAAGTTACACTCAGAGAAAAAATCAAGTACTTTGTACTTAAATGAAGCAAAACATTTTGTAAAATTTTAACTAGTTTGAAATTTTTTAAACTGTCTCAAGAACTTTTTTCAACCCGAAATTTCTGCTTCCTTTCGAATTTCCACCCAAGTAAGACTAGACTTTTTCTCTGAGTGTAGATTATTAAAACTTACATCTCTGAGCAGTTCCCTGCGCAGCTCAGCCTCATCAAAGTCCGAGTTCAATGAGGTGTGCTCCGTATCATAGCCGGCATCATTTGTGCACTGCGTATGAAAGGATATTAATTAGTCTAGATATAGGTAAAGGGTTTCCAAAAAGAAAGGCCACTCACGTAGCGCGCCTGTGTGTGCGAGAGCGTGCCAATGGAGGCCAATGATCCGGCTATGGTCGATATGTGCTCAATGTCCGCCAGCGTCTCCTGCTGACTACTACCGCCTGCATTCTGCTGGCTGGTGGGTATCTCCAGAGCCCGCGAGCTGCCTCGCTCCGAGCTGGGCCACATAACGTGCCGTGTTCGCCGTTCGCTCCAGGATTGTCAATGAAGAGCCTTCAATTATCCTTCAATTTAAGCTGGCAGTGATTGCAATGAGTAGCTATTGCTGCACGAGAAACACAAATCAAATGGATATAAAATAGAAAATAATAAGATAAATAAATTTATAAAATTAAATTCTAAAATGAGATGGTTCAAGCTCCATTCTTGTTTATACAGTTTCCGCAAATGGGTTACATATAAGATACTTATTTTCATCAAAATATTATATTTGAAATATCTCGGAGTATTAAACTTTGGTATTAAAATGAAGCATTCCTCGAAGAGTGCAAAATAAGTATCTTGACAAGATCTTAAGAACTAAGTTAAATTTGACAATTAACTATGCTGATTGCTAATTATAATTCATGTAGCTTTTACTAGTGCTACATATAAATGAGTAATTGAATTTTGACTATATTTTAGTCCGAAATAAATGCTATCATGAATAACAATTCCCAAATATTCTTTATATTACAAAGCACTGTGCGAGCTTTTCAGCAGCCAGCTTTTTACTTGTTTATCAGCTCATGTGCTTGAAATGCTCAAATGCCGCTAAATTCATTGATGTCGTTTTGGTCGAGCACATTCAGTTGCAGTACCAGAGGACGTTTTGTTCTAGCTGGCCCGCGGTTCGAGCCTCCGTCAGACCGCGAGGTTTTACAAATTTTATTTACCGTTTATTTCGCCCCACAAACATCATTTGCTGCAATTTGTCGTGTTTGGAATTGCAGCAAGCGCTTTGCGTGGGCCAGAGAAAATATGATATTCCGTTTAATCATAGACTAAAATCGGTGCTCAATACCTTAGCCTATTTCATGCCCGGAATACATTTTTATTTTTGTTTTTTTCTTTAATACAAGCGCTTGTTGCCATGGCAAAGGGAGCTGCCCTTTGTTATTCAGTTTTGTGCAGGGTTATTGAACGACAGCAAAACCTGGCTGTGGCTCTGCGTGTTGCTGCTTGAAGGGGCCGGCAAAAAGCGGACAAACAGCACTCGAATGCATTTTCATGTTGATGTTATTTTGCCCACTCTTAACTCACACTTCAAACACTTCCGTTTCCATGCGAACTGCGCAGAATCCGTTTGAGGCGTTTCTGTTGTGGCTTTTGTTTTCACTATTGTTGTTGACTTTGTTCAATAAACTTATGGATTGTTTAGTTTGGCAGTAAAATAAAGCAAGTCACAATATAGGGAAGTCGCTGTCCACTTCTTTTCTAATCACATCTTGATATTGCGTTTATTTCTTTGATTATATTCCCAGTGCGCTTGCCTTGCCACGCAACAACAAAACAAAACGCACGCTCGACCGGGCGGCAAAATGGCAACTGACAACTGCGTCGCTTGTGAGAGCAGAGAGAGAGAGAGGGAGAGCGCACATCAGAAGGGTTGCTTTGCTCACCATGCTGTTGTGTGGGTGTGCGAGGGGGTGTCTGTGAGCTTTGCCAACTGCACATGCGTCACATGTTCGTGCGCTTTTCAACTCGTTGGCATTTCATGTACACAAATTGCCCCCCTTCACAACTCGACAGCAGCCAGCAGAGCAACCCCAGCTGAAAACAGTGCAATTTTTAACTTATATATTCACTTATTGGCATCTCAATAACTTTTTAACACAGGATTTAGCAACTTCTTTGCCGCGACAGTTGGCAACACTGGCACCATGACGGCAATTGACACTCGCCAACTGCTGCAATTTGTCTGCACACATGCACAGGTTCAATAACACATGCATACGCATACGTTGGTGTGTGTGTGTGTGTGTGTGAGCAGCTGTCCGCAAGTCTATGAGAGAAATTTGAAGCACAGATGTTAGCTCATAATTTTAGAACTTAAAAATAAATGAAGTAAATAAAATATATGGTATTTAGTATAAGGTCTGGCTGTAGGCCAAAACGAAACACACTTATCTATGCATACATATATACATTTAATTAGCCTAGACTTTAAGCATATTATGAAGAAATTGCTTGAACACGACGCAATAAACAGGAAAAGAAAAACAAAATTATTATCGTTGAAAGGAACTAATCGAAACATTTGCATTGAACACAAAGCGGACAAGTTAATGGGTTTTCACTTTAAGGTACAGCTTAAACTAAGTATTTAAACGCTAATAAATATGAATATCAAATAATAAAAAAACAAATCGAGCAGACATATCAACAGCTAAATACCCCTATATATAAATATATATATATATAGATATATCTTTAAGGAGGCATACATACACGAAAGACTTCAATTGCATAGGATTATTTAATTAGGGTTCTATTTAATATGCAGCTACTTCGTTTGCCTTTTCATTTCTCTTCTTCTATTTTTGTTTTTTTTTTTCGTTAACAATATTTACAGTTTCCGACAGGGCCTTAATCTCGTCTTAAAAAAAATCGCTCGTTTGCTTACAACATGATATATAGTTATATACCGTAATAGATGTATATATATATATATATATATATGTATATATATATAATCTAGTAATTATTATAATAGATATTTAGTGTTCTTTTCTTTTAGCCAAACACGCGCGTTTTTATGTTTCTCCCATTTTGCTTTTTCCTAATTTCTCGCATTTAAAATTTGTTTTTGTTTGCTTTCTGTTTTTTTTTTTTCTTGTTTTTTGCTTTTTTTTGTTGAAGTAAACATAAAAATCGAGGAAGAATCTGAACGATAACACTTGCTGCTGCCTTAAACACAAACTTTACAACAAACTCGTATAGTAAATCCTAGACTCTGGCATACATTGAGGGCTAGCATCTGGCCTAACCCTCCACCATCCGCTCCATGCCCAAATCGCACTGTTCGATAACCAGACGAGCGATGCGCTTTATCTCACAGTAGGGACTCTCGTGCTCGATCAGCTCGGTCAATATCTGTATGCCGTTCTCCTGCTCCACCAGCTGGCAATATTTATCCGGATAGACCTAAAGAGTATAAGAGACGCGATGAGTCACTATAGAAGGACACTTAACATTCAATTAGACTCACCTGGGTGAGATTGGCCAGCGCCCAGACGGCCCAGTGCTGGCATTCGGGCGTCTCATAGCAGCGCACCAGACTCAGTATGGGCTCAAAGCTGCGATAATTGATGTTGCGTTCACTCTTGATGTTCCAGCGCTGTATGGCGGCCACCATGCGTTCGAGGACGTGTTGTCGTGTTGGCGTTTTGATGGTCCACGCATCGGCGCCATCGGATGCAATGTGCGCCAGCACTCCAGCCGCATTGTAGCTGACCTGGAAGCGCAGTTGGTTAGCATTGTCATTGGCTAGTCTTCCACCATGATGACCCACCTCGATGCCATCGCTCAATGAATCAAGCAGGCGCGCAAACACCTCTATAAACTCCTGTGTCATCAGTTTGGGACGCAGCCATTTAACCTCGGCCACATTGCCCAGCAGTCCCATCATGTTTCTCAATAGCTCGTCACGATCGGGAAATGTCTGCGTCGGTTAATATTATGCATTTTAAATTTCGTTTAAATTGACATAATGTTGTTGTTGGCTCACATTTAAACACTTAAGGAAATACTCCATTCCGCGTCCATCCAGAAATTTCTTACAATTAATAGCAGTCTCATCGGTTACATTCCACATGGTTGACCACGCCACCTCCATGACATCATCGAACACCGAACGCGTCAGACGATCCTTGATCAGTGTCAGCATTGTCTGCATATATATAAAATGAATACTCGATTAAATATGGTTTGCATATGGAACATCATCTGGTTGGTATACGCTTACGCTGACCACGCCCAACTCGCCGAGAAAGAGCTTCTGTCTGCCATCCACCTGGCAGGCGAGCGTGTTGAGCAGATAGATGGCAATGCGCTGAACGAAGCCCTCCTGCTCCGTTTTGGACACACCATGCAGGAGTATTTTAATTAGGCGTTCGTATTCGAACAGCTGTAGCAATCAAATAAAAAATTAATTACTTTCGGGTTGTTCAATCTTGAAGATTCAGTTGTAGTCCTACCACATCGACAGGCATATGGAATTGGGTCAGCGTCAGATAGCCATTCCTCAGCATTGTGTCGTCCGTTAGATGCATCTCCATGCCATTGAGCAGCGTCCGAATGATGTGGTTGCGCAACAAAGTGCCAAACTTGGAACGATCACGACCCTTAACTATGTAGAACAGTGTAGCGCTGCCGGCAAAAGGAATTTCGATTTCATTCGCAAAACAAGAACAACTATATTCGACTCGTCCGAATATTGAATATGCTTGTAGAATATGATTTTGTATATATGTGGGAAGAGTAGTTAGACTTTTCATACATGAACTCAATCCTTGACTGATTCCTATTAAAGCTTTATGATATAGTACAGACAGACGGACAGCCGAACGTGGCATATGGACTTGGCAAAATCATATTAAAATAGCCTCGACACGGGGAAGGCAAGAAGCCATAAAGAGGTCACACACCTGCCCGATATTTGCATATGCTTGAACTTCAAATGCCTGTCCATGGCGCAGAGCACAACATCCAGCGCTGTGTGTATATCCTTGCAGTTCTCAAAGCGAAACAGATGATACAAATCATTGAGAACCTGCAAAGCAAATAAATATCAATTAAAAAGCTGCCTCCGGCTGTCAACTATTTGGATGTGCTCACCCTTGTCAGAAGGACGGGCCTGTCGTGGTAATAGCGCGCCGCTGTCAGTATCTGCTGCTCGTTGGCATCGCCGGCCACCTCCAGGGCGGGTATGTCATGCCGTTTGCACGCCCAGTGCGCCGTATGATACAAGCCGAGAAACTGCAGTGGTCGCTGTGTACGCGACGCTAGCCCTGGTATATCGGTGGGTCCAAAATGTTGCTCTGTCTTGGTATTGGCATTGGTGGATTCCTTGGTGGCGACGCCGTTGCCGGCCAAATTCGTGCCGGAGATATCCAAATGTGTCAGATGGCGCAGGTTGTCCATGAGCATGACCAGCGTCTGATCGGGCAGATCATAGGTGCCATGCCCGTTGCCCGAACTCGATATTGAAATGTCCAGAGTGCAGAGGCGCCGCAGACAGCAGATCGCATGCAGCTGGTTCGCAATGGGCCACACATTGAACAGTATGAGCGTGTGCAGGTTGGGCAGCATGCCAAGCGCCTCCAGACTGAAGTTTGCCAGCACGCACGATGTGAGATCCAAATGGCTCAAATCCTGCAAATGGGCAAACTGCAGACGATGATGCATGACAACGCCATTTAGCACCAAACGGCGCAGATGCGGGCAGGTCAATTGAAAGTCCACCGGCTCCTTTTCATGGGGCTCCGCATTCTGCAACAGATGCGAACTGATGCCCAGTTCCAATGAGCGCAGGCTATCGCCATAATGGGCCAGCAGGTGATGTGATTGCACCGTAATCCTATCGCAATACCACATGGACAAAGCAAACAATTTGTGACGCATCAGCGTCTGCAGACCTGCAGGACAATAAAAGCAGAAAGTGAATACAAATTCTAGCCAAATCGAGCCTATGCCATAAGACCCACCTATGCTGCTCAGTGTGCTGTAGCGCAGATTGACAATCTTGAGCGAGGTGCGACGCGTATCGCTGAACAGATTTATGACCCTATCGTCAAGTGGTCTGTGGAAGCGCTGATAGTTCTCGAGGAACGCGTCGCATATCTCATTTGTCAGCACAATGCCCGCGTTCAGGGAACGCTGACCGCTTTCCGTACAGCCACTGAATATGTCCAGATTGTTGCATAGCTTCTGATAAGCGATCTCCTTTAATGTAAGCGGCTCCTCGTCCAGTGAGCCATCCTCCATAAGCCGCACCTTGCAGCTCATCTTGTGCCAATGTGTCTTGTACTGATGTCTTCTCCTGTTCTGTGACTCAATGATGCTACCAACGTTCCCTGACTCAATTGTGTTGCGTTTGCTGCGGCGAAGGGGGGGTAGAAACTGGAATGGTATTAGATGATGATGATGAGTCAGCTTCAGATATACTTGGGGGACAAAAACTAGAATTTTCGAATTGATCAAATCAAACATTAACTACACCGCCAACATGATGGCATACCTGTAAGCTCAGGCAAAAAAATGGCAGCCAGTGAAACGTTTACGAATTCGACACAAAAGGGATACGTTAAAAGTCTTATTTGACTGAGAATACATATGTAGATTATTAACACACACTTGAAATGTATCTCTTTTATAATGTTATTACTTTATTTCCTTCTCAATAAGATTCTTATTGCCAGTGTTCAGAAATGTTAAAGATGTTGACAAGCAACCTTTTGCCCAGGATCTAACAGCAGGCAGCCAAGGATTGGCTGGCCAGAACGCAAAATCAATCTTTGCAGAGCTTATCAGGTTATAAATAAAGAGCTCAGAATAAACTGAAAACTGCTGAAGTCATGCTACATGTGATTGTAAGGTGTTCTATTGTTTTTTAACGGGGTGCTGCCAAAGACATATTACGTAATATGTTGAAATAATGCAACAGTATGTGTGTGTTGGAAAGCGACTGAGTGTGAGGGCCACAGGACGCGCATCGAAAGTCAACAACAACGATCGAGCTGGCAACGCCAAACTGAAGCGAATGAACGGAAACAAATGTTGGAAAATGCATACAAACATACCAATCAGTAGGCAGATATGTGCGTATTTATGTAAATATACAAACTATAGCATTAAAATTGGGCCTGTATTGGTGCGTAGTTATTGCGGGGAAGCTGGGTGTGCGTGTGCGTCGTGTGCGACAGCCAGTCTGCGCTTATCAAGGCAAGGCCAGCGAGAAATTCGTGGCCAACATCATCAACAGACCCATTTAGAGCCCATCAGCTGTGCCTGCCGTAGACATAGCTAGCAGCAGGTGCACCACGCACGCACAAACACACACACAAATTGTTTAGCACAAATTAACATAGAAACAAAGGACCAACGAGATTTTCGTTTTATGTGTACCTTTTTTTTTTTTGCTCTCAACAGCTACGCGAGTCGCGACCAGTCGTCGATGATTGTTGCTGCTGGTGCTGCTGCTGCTACTGCTGCGATGTCTTTGTCAAAAAAAGCTTTAACTGGCTGCGAATGCGATTGATTGAAGGCGCCGCACGGTTTGGAACGCGTTAACATTCCAGTTGCGCGACACAAACACGCAAAAATTGTTGGCGTTCTTTTTTATTCGGCCGAATATCACTTGATTATTCACTTTTTGGCATCATATTTTCTATTTTTCTTTCATGCAATGCTTCTTCTTCTTTCACTGAACGCAAATTGATTGCTGTTAACGCAAACAACAGATCTCTGTTAAATAACAGTAACAGCAAATCGGCACTGCCAACTGGCTGCCAACGCTAACAGCGTATCGGCTTATTGATTTCGATTTGTTGATACCGAAGAACAAAAAAAATATCGACTTAAAACATATAGGTGCACAATCTTTGCTTTATGGGAAACTAGACTTTTATTGTAAGTTTTAAGCGCTCAAAATTATTAAAATGTACACTCTTGTAGGTTTTGTGTGTATGCGACAGAAAAATGAACTGTTGGACGTGCATGTTGGGGAAAACACTTGCACTTGGCTTAATTTGTACAGAAACTGGCGACAATTGCTTGGGATCGGGATCGGGATCGGATCGTTAATACATCAATCACTATCAACATTTCAACTGCCCACATTATAGTTATTATTTAATTATAATAGATACTGTGCTCATCAATCATTGACTTTGTCCAAAAATTTACAATCTCCTTCGACCACAATTCGTGGCTTGTGACTTGCGCGCCAAGTAATAAATAATAATTGTTCGTTTAATTTCTAAGTAAAAAAAGGCTGTTTGCTGCCAGACATAGGTCCGTATCCGTATCCGTATCCGTAAGCCTAAAGATACATTCGCATCCGTCTCTGCTCTCCGCTCTCGGCTCTCTAACCCGATAGATCGCCCTGATCGAAGAGCGCCTGATCGTAGAGCTCGGCGACGACTCGTCGTCCGCCAAAGAAACGTCCGTGGAGCGCATCCTTGCCGCGCACCGCCTCGACGCCCGCTGAGAATTCAACAAAGATCTTGACAATAATCTCGGCCTCGTCGTCGTCCTCGTTTTCGGTTTGCTTTTCGTTGAATATGATGACACGACTGACTGTGCCAAATTTGCTGCATTCCTCTTGAATCTCCTCCTGCAGCGTCTCGTCCACATCATCGGGTCCGACCATATTCCGCAAGATAATGACGCGTGAGTCCTGTGGTCGCATCAGCCTTTGCATAACCAGCTGGCGTGCACTCTGGCCCTTGATGGACATGTTCTCCTGTTGCTGCAGCGTCTGCACATCGCCCTCGTCCATCAGTTTCTTTTGCAGCTCCTCCTGCTGCTTCTCCTGCGCCTTCTTAATGTTCTCCGACAGATTTGCCGCCGTTGCCGCAGCATTATTGGCAGCCGCAGACAAGACGACCGGCGCTCCATTGCTGGCCTCCACCACGCCGAGTGGCACTGCTGCTGCGGCGGGTACCGCGGCTGCCAAAGCCACGGCAGGCGGCGTTGCTAGGAGCGCGGGTGGCGGTAGTGTGGGTGCCACACTCTGCAGCGTAGGCAAACCGACCGGCACGCCCAACAAACTGGGTCCGCCAAGACCGGGCGCCTGGTATATGCCAGGCGGCAGCAGTGCAGCAGCGGGTGCTGTTGGCACCGCCAGAGCAGGATGCAAGGCAGCCGCCGAGGTGGCCGCACTCACCACGGGCATGGCGTTCACTTTGGCGGCAATGCCCAGACCGGGCGTATTTTGAGACAAACCGAGCACCGCATTGCTGGCCACCGCATCCAGGGCTTGTATCTTAGCTGTGGCAGCGGCAGCAGCAACTGCTGCAGCCGTTGGCATTGTCGAATTTGTAGCAGGACACGACAGCACATTTGGCGGCGTAATCGAACGTCCAACACTGCAGGATAAGGTGAGAAGATAAGCAAATTGTCTTAGAATAGAATGATTTTTACGCACCGCAGCAACTGGCCGCCCAAATCGAAGAGATTCATGCTGGCAATGGCCTCGTCCATGGCCTGTTTGTTGGCATACTCAATGAAACCGTAGCCCTTGTGCGTGTGCACAGATGTGCCCTGCGCTAGCTTGCAGTAGAGAATGGGACCGAAGGCCTCGAAGACGCTCTTGATGTCATCCTCCGACAGATCCGGATGTATGGAGGCCACATAGATGCGATTGAAGCTCTTGGCCTCCTCCTGCACCTCGTCGATGACCTGTTGTGCCTGCGGCATGTTGCTTGGCCTGCCCACCTTAATGTTGCGGCCGCCCATCAATGCGCCATTCATTTGCTCCAGCGCCAACTGGGCGCCCTCCGGTATTTCATACTCAACAAATGCGAAACCCTTATGCTTCTGTGTGATGGGATCCCAGGACATATTAATCGATTTGATGGGTCCGAATGGTGTGAAAGCAGCGCGTATGGTGTCCTCCTTGAGCTCAAACGAGATGCTGCCCACATAAACCCTGGCAAAAGCAAAAGCGAGGAATGAGTTTGGGCACAAATAAACTAAGAATTAATATTTAAGATACACAAATACTCAGATCTTATCAGCTAAGCTGCACAGGAAACCAGATGGACCCAAAAACCGACTTCAATAACGCGAAGCAGCGGTCGGGCCACGAGGTTATTCACTTGATATTTTCCATGTTTTGCATCATATTGAAAAAGTCTGGGTATCTTATGCAAATCAAATCGTTTCTTTCATTACCTGCACATGAGCGCCAGGGCCTGTTGCCGCTGCACCTGGGTGCGTTGGGTGGCCAGTTGCTGTTGCTGATGGGCAAGCGTTTGCTTCATTAAGACCATCTTGATGCTCTGCTCCATGGCATACTTTTTGGCCTTGCTGACAAGATCATGCTGTTCCGAGGTCAGCTTGGGCAGTGCACCGCCAAGCAGTCCCAGCAATGCGGATCGGGTGCCAGGTCCGAATTTCACATCGCCCGTCTGTTTCAGATCATACAGTGGCTGCGAAAGGTAGGGAATTTTCGTGTCCGCTGACTTGCCTAGAATTGGGAGAACAGATTAGTGTATCTCATATGATATGATGACAATGGGCTCATCATCGAACCGATCAGCGCTAGGCGAATCGTTTAAGCAATTTGGTTTGAATACGACTTTTTTTTTTCTTTGATTCGTTTTGATTTTATGAGGTCTGTGTCGACTCGCAACAGCAGCTCGAGACCACAGTTGGCCCAAATGCTGTGACCGCAACCAAGCGAGGGGAGGGGGGAGGACACAGCAAACGGGCCAAGACAATGGTGCGGGAGTTGCTATTTGAAGCGACACAAACAAAAAACCGATGCCTGCAAGAAAGATAAAAGACAAAAAGGAAAAAATAGAAAAAAAATCATTAATCATAATCAACAGTTTTGCTGGCCGGCGAACGAACTACATACATATATTGTAGTAGTTTATACATATATGTAACTCTGTGTGTATGTGTGTGTGTGTGTGTGTTCTGGAGAAGATCTGGAACTGCTTGAGCGCGGGCCAATTGCCAACCGGCAGATGATTCAGTCACAGAGATTCGAGAGGCTACAACACAATATGACAATTAAAAGCTGTCGATGCGTTTTACTCGTTAAGTTTAAATGCAGTATTTTTTTTTAAACTGTTATCGTTTATCGGTATTTTTTGCGTACTAACAAAATTTAGTATTTCGTGTCTTGCATCGGTTTGAGTTTTTGAATTAAATAAACGTTTTGAATTTATGTAAATGGATATAGAATATTGCCTGACGGACTGCAAGGCATTTGATTTGTCATACGTAAAGGCTGGAAAATGCAAGAATAAAAAGAAAGCACCCGTAAAAATAAAACATAAATTAGCCTAAGATTTTTAAGTATACGTAGGCTGTGCTAATTAAAGTACGACTGTGTGTGTGTGTGTGTGGTGTGTGTGTGTGCGTAGATTAGAGATAAATGCAATTATAGCGAGTATATATCAATCGAAATATCATTTAAAGCTCTTCCAACGGACATCCAGCCGGCAAATCGTCGCCGCACAAATCGAAACCAAAGAAGAAAATACCCAAGAACTGTGCACACTGTAAACAAAAAATAAGGTTCAACACCCCAGGGCTTACAAAACGAACTGAAGTCAAAATTCAATAGTTATCAACGTTGTGGACAGTGTTGGAAAGCTGGCATAACGGTGTGCACAATTCCTGTAAATGTATTATAAAAATAGAAATTATAAGCGACCTTATATATACATGTGCGTTTCGATACGGTTTCCATGAGTTGGGGGCGTGGTATATTGACTTGAAGGGTCACACATTACATTGCTCAGTGATAAAAAAGAGAAAAATAAAAAGAAAACAAGACGCTGAAACGATAATAAGAGCAACAATATGTTTTTAAGTTGGTTAAGTTTTTCCGCCGTACCTTAATCATGTTGTGTATGTATGTGTGTGTGTGTGTGTGTGTGTGTGTGTGCGTGTTGGTGTGTATGTATTGTGTATGTGTGTGATTTTGTCATATATATGTGTATGTGTATATTTTACTTTAAATATTTCACGTTGGGTTTTTGATCTCGCGGCTAACTAATAAACCTTCTATATACATATTTGAAATCATTTGGAGAACACATATAAATATGCATAAATTTATATTTTAATAGTAGCACTCTTTTGGCTTATCGGACAATTTGTTGATTTGTTATAAATAAAGCGCAATAGTTATGTGTTTAAAAATTAATTCACTCCCTTTTAAAAACTGATGTCTTTCAATTTGGAAAATATAGTCTTCATTTGGCACATTTGCAATTTCAAAAAATTAACGTTACTTTTAGCTAACATCATTTTTTGCTCAACACTGGCACTCACGAAATTTTAAATGGTCGTGACACGAAAAGACACGCGCCCGCCCAACTTCAATGTTGATATTAAATTATAATCAAAATATATATATAAAAAAAAAAGAAAAACGAAAAAACGACTAATTCTGGCTGTGGGGCGGATCAGTCCAACGCGTTGTCGCAGCACATATGAAGACGGGAGACGGAGACGGAGGCGACGACGACGACGACGAAGACGAAGCAGCTCGGGTGCGGGAACCGCGACGTGTACGTTGAAATCGGCAAAAAATGTTGTTAAAAGCAAGTAAATGCAACTCGTTCCCTTATCGGGGGCTGATGTATCTTGGTAGTAGCAGTTGTTATTGGCAATACTCTATTTTGGGGGGCGGCATCTCATGATCGATGTCAATTCTTGATAGGCGACAAAAGAACCAAGTCGTTTGGGCGGAACAAACTTAAGAAAAAAACGCTTACAAAATAAATGGAAAAAAAAAAGAAGAGATATATAGAAGAAATAGAGAGAGAATATATATAGAGAGAGAGAGAGAGAGAGAATAAAGAGAATAGTTATATGCTTTTTTGATTAGTTTTGTTTCGTTGCGTTTCGCAGTGTTGATGCGGCGAGGATTCACTGTACTCATTCATATACACTCTGCGGGCTGGACCCTAGTTAAATGAAAAAATTCATTTTTGCAACTTGTTGTCGAGCCAACGCTTCGATCTTATGTTAACGCATTAATTATATTAATATATATTATGTGACTGGTGTATTTTTTTTTTTTTTTTTTTTTTGTTTTGATTTTTGTGCTTCGCACTCTCTCACAATGACGACACATATCGATACTTTGTATGGACAGTTGAGTCGGATTCGAGTAGGAATCGATTCGCAATTAGTTTTGGGGATCGCGTGTGGTTTGGACTGACTTGACCTGTCTTGTTATTGTTACGTTTCGTTTCGTATTCGTTTTCGATTTGGTTTTCGTTATTTGTTTGACTCTCACCTCACCTCACTTGAGATCATCGTGCGTTTATGAAGTCTGCAATTACTTAAGCAGAACAAAAAGAAAAACCGATTATTTAATAGCGTCTGTGCTGGCCCTTAAAATGCAACGAAGTAGTAGAAAAGAGAGAGAGAGAGAGAGAGAGATGTGTATGCAAATGTTTATGTTTTCAGAGAAAATATAAAATTTCAACTTAAAAAAAATATGATATATATATATATATATATATTTTCCTTTTGTTAGGTTTGTTGTGGCCTGGCGTTTCATTAACCTACATTGTATATATATTTATTTCTCTTTTTGTTTTATGTGAACTTACGCATATAAATATATATATACTCTATGGAGATACATACTTATGCATATAAACAAGTTGACCCCTTCTCCCACCCCGCCCGTAACAAGACGAAACACTTACCCGAGTCCGAGCGTGAACGCTTTGTGACTGGCATCTCGCCGATATCGCGCTGGTCATCCGAACGCGGCGATCTGGAGGCTCTGTCGTTGCTGCCCTGCAAATGCAAAAAAAAAAACCCCAAAGCGAAGGTCACTGGATTAGTAAACGTATGGCAAGGTACGCGACGGCACAGGCGAGGCACGATACATGTATATACATATACATATACATATATATATGTGTATGTATGTAGATACACACGGGCGCGAGCTGTCGACTTTTAGAAGAATGCCTGTGCTTGGGCAGTATATTTTCAACTTTCAACAAGCGTAGCCAACTACGATTTGACTTTATATAAAACGCACATTCACAAATGAGTTCAACGAAATGTAAAAACGCACAATGCAAAAAAAAAAATTATTGCAGGGCACGCGCTTCGACAGCGGCTGCGGCAGCCACGCCAAGCGCAAAGTCGAAAAACAAAGCTGAATAAACGACGGCAAAGTTGGTGTTACTGTTATAAACATACCATCCTATCTCGTTGCACAAATATAACTTGATTTATGTGTATTTGGCTGGGTATATATGTGATTTAAATACAAGTTTTATATTTTGCGAAAATTTGATGTGACGTCAAGAAAAATGGATTCGACGAAAAGTACTTGCGTTGTATCGATAGTGCTGTCGCAGCCAAGTATCGATGCTTGTTTTAAGTGTTGGGCAATGGTGGTGCATCGATATTGCGTTGGCTTTATTTATCGATATTTGTTACGTAGATCTTACTCATCGATATTAGAAATTTGATTCATTTTAAAATGCGTTAAAAAGTAGTTGGTTCGTCGGTTAAAGAATTATCATTCGAGTTGACAAAACGCAAAACAAAACAAGAATAATAATTAAACAATGCCATTGTGAGTGTACGCGACAAATAGCTTATTTAAAATATGAACATAAAATATTTAATATATATACATATATAAAGTATAGTGTCATGATGCTTACTCTTTGTGACTAACTCCTGTTGTCAAATACAAATGCATACGGTCAGACGATGTGCAGAAAGCTGTCTATGTGTGTGTTGGTTAAACAAAAGCAAAAGTGCAATACAAATAGCACACTTAACAAGTACTCTTGATTATTAAAACAAACATACTTTTGTTTATTGTTCAACCAGTGTCTTATTAATTACAATTAAAATCTAATTTACGCATATTTACAACTCGCATTCGCAGAGGCTACGATCTATTGTAAGTATGTAATTATGTAAGTACACAAAGGCAATTTCGGTGTGAACAGATTTGATGTTGTAGACATGGCAGTTAAATTTGTCACGAAAGCAGACATTATGTTATGTTTACGTGTGTGTGTGTGCGCGTTTATGTTAATGGGATTATGTTAAAGGAACTATGTAAACAGATGCGTTCGCTGCCACTGTCTGAAAAGTTCTTGCAATTCATTTATATTATTTGCTTTCTTTATTATTATTATTATTTACAACAGTTTAACCGTTGTGAATCACATTTTTGCCTCATTGTGCAAATGGCAATTATTCATGAACTCAGCCGCATCTAACTATATACTATATATGCATGTATATATAAGTACGTGTACGATTTAAAGCTAATGTCAGTCAGAAGACTTTACTGCATTTCAATTAAAACCTTTTCAAATTTCTCAAAACAAAATTTCCTTCAACCGATCTCAAGCTAAAAACTTAAAAACTACATGAACGTTACACACGGTGAAATTCCTCAAAAATAATAAATTAATGAGACCAAAACTAAACGTAAATGATTGCTAAGTACACGTTTCCATCAATTAAGTAATATATGAATTCAGCTAGGTCTTTGTTTATGTGCGAGCTTTGGTAGAGCACCTGGCGACGACGTGGACCACGACGAGCCGGCTGTGGCGGGCGGCACCAGCTTTTCAAGCTCGAATGCCGCCTGATCGATCCGTGCACGACGTGAACGTTTATGCAACTGGACAGGCGCCTAGGTTAATAGATCATCTTCCATATTGTGTATCAGTATCTTTTTGTCCTCCTTGACGCAGGGCGACTTTCTATCGCGCGCCGCAAATTGTTGCTCCACCAGCTTTGGATCAAAACATGGCTATAAATTGTAAATAACTAATTAGTTAAAGATTTTAATAGGAATCGGATTTTATGCGCACCGTTTCGCAAATGTTCATGTTGCAGCAGTTCTCTATCGTAATCTCGCACTGCTCGGTGGCCAGCGGGCGGTTCGTGAGCGGCGTGTCGCTGGCGGAGTTCAGGCGGGCCTGCTTGCGCACCACGAATGTCTTCTTGATGCGCGGCCGCTTCGGCTTGTAGATGAGTCGCAGGCCGTGCACAATGACCGCCACCAGCGCCAGGCTGGACACAATGCCCACCACGAGCACAATGATCACAGAGCCCGACCGGAGGCTGCTGGGCCCGTCGGCGCACAGCGGAGCTGCCGCCTGGTATTCCGTCACAATTGTGCCGTTGCTTAGATGCAATTCCTCGCAGCTATTGGAGCCAAAAAGGGGGGAAAAAGGTGGGAGGGGCGGTTTAGTGTTGGAAGCTAGATAGCTAGGAGAATGGTACTCACATGTCCACACAGCTGGCGGGCACAAATGCATCCGGATGCTGCTTCAGGTGCTGACAGTAGCTGGCGCAATGCGCCGTCTCGTTGTGCTCGCAGCGTGTGCCCGTAAAGTTCTCACGGCAATCGCAGCTCAGCTCGCCGCTCTCCTTGTCCACGAGACAGTGGCCATCGTTGAGGCAGTGCCCGTTGCATTTATAGTACTCACAGCGTTCGCCATAGAAGTCCTCCTGGCAGTAGCATTTGGGATAGCCCATGTCGGAGATTTCACAGGTGCCGTGCACACAGAAATTATGGCATTCGGATATCTCGCAGCGTGCACCCTTGTAGCCCACCGGGCATATACAGAAGTTACCCCTGCTCATGTAGCTGGCGCCGTTCAGGCAATGCTCGCGCTCCAGTGCATCCATGCGCTCCTCCACGGCGCTGCGTTCGTGTGTTCTATTGTTGAGCTTGTTGTCCAGGCGCTGTTTGACCTTCCTCACGACGCTGGCGCAGTGCGCATCCTTTTGCAGATGCTGATAGAAACCCGTGCGCGCCACTATGCCGTACACATCGTCCTTCCAGCTGGCCAGCTTTGTGGGTTGCGGCTGCGTTTCGCTGGAATTCGTCGCCGGCTTGTTGTACGCCGGCTTGGGATAGCTCCAAACGGCTTTGTCCGCCTTGTCTGTCCAGTAGATTGTGTCCTCCGTGATGGCCAGCTGTATGGGGCTCTGGTGTTTGTCCTTGAGCACCAGCTGGCGATCGCTGCCGTCGAGACGTGCGCTCTCCAATGCAAAGAAGATGCCCACCTTGTCGTCAATCCAGAATATACGATCCGATAGCTGATCGATCACAATGCCGCGCGGCATATCGATATCCTGCTTGATGATTGTTTCGCGGCCCGTGCCGTTCAAGCCGATGCGTTCCACGGTCGCATGATTGATCTTGCAGTTTGTCCAGTACAGCTGACGGCGGCAGATATCCACGGCCACGCCGTCCGGCCGGCCTCCCTCGGCGCTCAGATCCACTAGCACCTTGGGCGGTTCCGTGTACAGCGTATCGATGCTGGCAAAGTAGATCTTGCTCTGGCGCATGTCCGCCCAGAAGAGATTGCGATTGAGCGGATCGTATGCCAGTCCGGATACCGAATCATTGCCCGTCCGCTGCACCGCCTGCTCCACGATGTGCGAGGCAACCGTTGCATCGCGTCGCAGCGAGAAAATGCTGCCGTTCTGATGCTGCTGATCGTTGAAATAGATCAGCTCCTCGGCCTCATCGAAGGCCAAGGCGGACAACTCCTCGAATTCGTGCGCGGCTGAGCCAATTGTGCGCCATCTGTTGTCCACAAACAGAATCTTGTCGCGCAGCGTAACGGCAAAGTCTGAAAAATGCAAGTGTTGCATTAGTCGGCATTCACGCTCAAGCGATTGTTGTTATCGATGACTATCGATTAGATAAGGCAGGCCATAAATTACTAATAAATGCTCGCTGTGAACGCGGGAGGGTAAAGGGGGTTGGGTATGTGCAGGAGCATAGCAAATTAAGTTCAATAAATCGCATTCAATTAAGTTAGCGCCACATGTCCCGTTGCTCTGCCACGCGCCCTCTTAAAGACTCCATATATCTCTCTCGCTCTCGCTCTCCCTCTCTCTCTCTCGCTCTCTCTGTCTGTGTTGATCATAAATATCGTATCGTACTTCAATCAAAGTTCGCTTTATTATTATAAATTTAGAATTTAGATTTGAGTTTCAATTAATTACGAGCCAATTTTATGCGCTGAGCCCATTCACAATGGTTGGTTAGTGTAAATGTATGTATATATATTTCTCGACAGGACGAAGAATTAAGTCGATTTGGTCAAACGCGTTGATCTCGAAGACTAAAAAAGTTAGCGACTTGAATTTTGATATAGTATCTCCTAAAGAGTTTATAATTCTGTATATATTCTCATATTATATAGTTTAGTAATATAGAGTAATGCATGCTTTTTTCAAGCATAGTTCGAATTATTTGATTTAAGATTTTGTCCTATTTGAGAGATCCATTGATGTTAGTCATGAATGCATTGACTGATGCACTGCATCTGTTGCACAACTTTCCCGTAGCAAATCGAATTATTAATGTTCAAACGAGTCTGGACTGATAAGATAACGTGTCTGAACCCAGATTGAAAAACCCCATGTGAAAATCCCCAATGCAAAAAAAAAAAGAAAAACAAAAATATGCACAGGGTCAAGACGCAATTAAATCGATGGCGGGTCAGGTATGCAGCAGCTTCCAACGTAAAACAGGTGATAATACAGTGAAACAAGAAACCCGCCCATCTTCACTATATATTATACGCGGTTAGTCAGATTCCAGAACTGTTAAAAACCCCCCCACAAAAAAAGAAGGCGTTAAAAAGCCGATTTTAAACGTTGACGAACCGGTTTTTTTTTTTTGTTTTTAAGGGGCGCTTTAATTTTTGGCCAACATGTCAGCTGTTAATTGGAGATTTTATTCAATTGATTATGATAAAGTACGCCCGGCAATAAAACAAATAAAGCACGGAAATGGCAGCTAAGCTACCTGGAAAAAACAGCTGACCCGGCAGCATTTCCGTAACGGATATACAAATGCGTGTCGATCCGAAGGCTAATGCAACAGGTGTCTGGCTGGCTTTCACTTTCACACACACACACACACACACACGATCCAGCTTAACGAATACTTGACTCGATTTGGCCATTTGACCATTTGGCCCTAGCCGCAGTCCGTAGTTTTTTTGTGGGTCACTGTCGCGTGCGACTTCACAACTTCATAAAAAAAAACAAATAACAATATTATTTATAAACCAAGTCGAGATACCCTTGTGCAGACATTAAACAGCTGCGTGGTACAACAAATCGACTCTTGCCCCTTTTGCCCGTCTTTTGCAAATGATATAGGGGCACGATATGGGTTTGAACTTAAGATATCTGGCAAAACAGCAAGATCTTAGTTCAGCCAAAATAATTAATATATAGCTCAACAGTTATCAAATAAGTTTCAATCGTAAAAATAGTCGAAAACCTAGCAAGCGTTACAATTCGCTTGACAAAATTAGAATACACGTTGGCCAGGGTATAGGGTATCTTTTCTATATGTGACTATTCATTAGTTTATGCCCATATATAGATAAAGATATATATGCATTCAGTCTGTCTAATTGTCTAATGTAAAAGGTATTGGCAAACCTTTCCAATGCTTTGGCTTTCAGTCTGTCTGGTCTGTTGAGGGTCTTGAGCATAGTTTAACCTTCGCACTAAGGGGCTTTGAGGTCAACGGCTTATCGATGCAGAAAATTTTGAATTCAAAATAAGTTAACATGTTTGCAAACGTTGGCTTAATAAATAAAGTTCAATCAAATAGTTTATCGATTCGTTTATAGTTCGATGAGTCACAAAACTGAACATTAATTTCGTGTTAGATAATAATTTATTAAATTATCGTCCGTAATTGGCCAAAGAAACGAACAAAAACTTGAACTTCAACAAATGTAAAAAAAATGTTAAATTGTTTTGTATTTTTCTTTTTTAAATATGCTTTTTGCGTCGCAAAATTTGTAAAATATCATCTAATGGTCATTGACATTGACCTAACGTTCCATAGATAATCCAAATGAACTCGGCTGGGTCATAAAAAATATCTCTAAGCAGAGATTTGATAGGCTCTCGATGCACTTTACTTCGGGACTCTGAATCTTTCAGGATTACAAATCTCTATGGAAATTAATACCGTTCTTAGTTTACAGTTTTTGTAATGAACAAGAGCGAAACATATATATATATATATATAAAGAAATCTGCATTCAGAGTCACTTTTCGAGATCCATTTCAAAGCGAATACATATTTAAGTGAGATACATTTAGCATACTACGTACTATGTAAATATAAACACATTTGAAAATTTATGGAGAACCCTTGGAATGCCCTGTAGCCAGGGGACGACAAAAGGGTATATTGAACTTGTTCAAATTCACAAGCAAACGCAAAGATTATAAGATCTTGAGAGTTCAAATTTGTCATGTAGTCTCTCTCTCTCTCTCTCTATCGATAACTACAAGAAATCGATAAATATCGGGTTTTAAGATTGTTTTAATCATAGTTAGGATCAATACGACGCATGAAGATGCAGCTAAAGGGTATCTAGCCGTCGATCTAGTCTAATCTTCAGAGCCCTCGCACGCAGGTGCATTGATCTGACAAAATGGGTTTAGCTTTAAAACCTGTTCAATATAAAATCAATATTTAGTAAAAAATAATAAACATCTAATGTAACTTTTCTGTATTTCAGGCGGCAACAAGTTGTTATATGACTGCAAATAATATCCACTTGAATGCGAGGCAACACGTGGATTTCTTGATTAGTTATCGTAACTGTAACTGGAATACACATGCACACAAATGTATGACAGTATATCACACACACACACGCACACATACACATGTATTTATGTGCACACGCACACATTTTCAGAATTCGCCTCGAATTGCCGTAGCTAAAATTCCAACAGACGCAACAACAACAAGACTTGAGTTCGACGCCGGAGTAAGCCGAGAGCTGAGCGTAAACAAAAGTCGCAAGCTTTTTTTTGCTGAAACGTAGCGAAGCTGGGTGTCACACGAGACCAAAATGTTGTTGAAAAAAAAAAAAACTGAAGAAAAACAATCAAATCAGCAAAAAGTGAAAGAAAACAAATTAACAAAAACCGGCAAATTTTTGCGGCATACGTGACAATTAAGCAACTCTCAATGGCGGCTATGAGATTGTTTTTTTTTTTTCTTTTTTCTATGTCTCTGCTGCAGAGAACTGCCGCAGCGCTCTCTCTCCGCTCAGCGGGGGTGAAAGTGCGCGTGCAACACTGTTTGGAATACAGTCGGCGCTAGGATATGCCGCAGCTACAACTGGTTTATGAAATTCCAGAAAAGATTGAACTTGAATTGATAAACATCATCTGCGATAAGACAAATGCGTAGCCAAAGCAAATTGATACGAAGAAAAACAAAATGGCATAATCAGCTGATGGTAAGCATAACGTAAACGCACACGCCACCACACGTATGCGAGACACGTTTAAAGGCAAACATGGCCAAAAATATATAGACACGGTCACATTCATAAAAAAACTAGAATCTCTTTTTATTTACGTAGCTGAAACACTTAAATGTCAGCCGATTATGCAATCAAGCATAAAGCAAACGCATTGTCTGCTGCCAAACCGATGGCAAATTGATTTCTGTGCAAGAGTGGGGCACACTGTTACGTTCAGGTGCACTGGCAGCGTTGCCACAGCCATGCAACACTTTCTAACCAATGCCGACGTAAAATTGTATAATAGCTGCTGTTTAAAAAATAAAAAGAAAAACACACACTTACCCCAGGCAATTGGCGATGCATCTGCTAATGGCGAGCATATATTCAAAACAATAAACAAGACAGCTACACCAAACTGTTGCGATGTACACAATTTCATTTTTTCTAATACTCTGGACAATTGCAAATGGACGCGCGTTTTCTATTGTACGGTTATTCCTTCTCCTGGCAAGTGCAATTTGAGCTGGAAGTCAGAGTAAATGTCGAGCGGGAAGCATGTGCTGCCTATTCTTACGTGAATATCCACTGAGGGGTTTTAAAAGAAACCGACCCAACGTTGCGCACAACCGAATAACTTATCAATTACTAAATCGGTTTTTACTGCCGCCACAAGGAACAGCCCGTGGGGTATCGGTGTGCAGTGCAAGCTGTGGTGTTTTTTAGTACTTTTGTGTTGTGCCAGCGTTGCCATATTGTGAACAGGAGGATTTTAGAAAAACCGATTTTAATTGTATTTTATTTCTCATTTAAACCTACGTAAAAACTTAATTTCCGTGTTAACAGTGATATACGCGTGAAAAGTGAAGTGAAGTAAAATGAATATATGTTATGTAATCAAATTTAAATTGAATAAAATAAATTATGCAAATAAAATAAATTTTGTATTTATGTTAAGCAGTAAAACAGCTGTAAGAGTGGGCATTGATCAATCTTTAAAAGAGATTATCTTAATTGGCGTAAGATACATTGAGGACAGGCTAAAAAACTGCGTAAGATAGTAAGTCTTGCGATTCATTGGAATATTATTTTTGGTGCTAGCTTGGTTAGCATATTTGACACAACCTTTAAGATAGAGCATCAGCACTTACTACTAGCCAACTTTTGTGCTTGCACTTGACCCCGTAAAGTCACATTTTAAAAACGATCACTCAAAATTTGAATACCAATATCCGTTATGACCCTATTATAACAGTAAATATAATAAGTAACCTATCGATACAAATTTATCGGTATCCAAACATTACAAATATCGTACTGCAAGTTGCAGCGTGTGGAAGACGCATAGCAGTGTTGGTAAACAGCTGGAAGGTGGAACTCACTTAATGCGCTACCGATAAAACGTTTTATTTTTAAAAATAAATTCAACGTTGCAGTGCCATGTACAAAAATGCGTTAAAAGGAGGTATACGTACAGCAAAGCAGGCCTGGAAATTCAGAAACGGTAATAACACACGTACTGAGTGAACATTTTTTTATAACAGAAAACAATACGGCTGCATAACAACACGTCTGTAGAGTGCGCAATCAGCTGTGCGGTCCAATACCGAAACGTACCAAGCGCAAGTGGGTCACACTGAAAGCGTGTTGTTTTTTTTTTTTCGTCAGCAGAAGCCGCCAGCAGCTGCCCGCAGTATTCATTCACTCTCTAATAAATTTTCTGCAAAAATTAACTAACATAATTCAGTTAAATTTAAAGTAAGTGCATTCAAACGTCATACTTGCAGAACTTGGCAAACTCAATTTGGATTTAGCCAAAGCCAATTCCGATTTTGAGCAGCATTTGTGCGAAGGTGAGAGAACAGTACAGCCACCCGCAGTCCACCCGCCCGCCATCCGCCACCCGCAGTCTTCCCGCGCAACCCCTTTGTCGTAATAAAAAATAAACACAATTAAAAACCGCTCGTTAAAGCAGTAATAATAACAATAATAATAATAATAATCCTCTGTGCCAGCAATCTTTCACATCTAGTTTCAGCCTGCAACCAAGCAAATCTGTTCCCGCTGCACGCCTCCCCCGCCTCCAAGCAACAGTTACTAAACAAACCGACAGCACTGTGGAAACTGGCTCGCCAGAGCTTTCGGTGCTGCGCTTGTGCTTTTACTAACGCCCCAACGTTGCGCCTCCGTATCCGCCTACGCCCGTGTGTTTGCCTTAGCTGCGTTGATAAGCATTCTGCCCATCTACGTGCAGAGACTTGCCACCTCAATACTTTGGTATCGTCGAAGCAGTTCGTGAAGGTGCAAAAACAGTTTTATCGCGACTACTCGGACATATCGCTGGGCGCGCCACTCAAGACCAGCGAAGCCCCACTGCTGGGCGATCTGTGCAGTCGTTATCGCGACATACTTGCCCATACCTCGGCGGACTTGATTGGAGCTGAGCCTGTTCTAGGCAAAGGACCACAATTAAGCCATAATCGTCGCATACACAGCTGCTGCTGCAGTCATCTTCGTCAGGCGGAGCAATCGAACGGCCACAACAATATGGCACAATCGGAGGTCAACCAATTTGAGCGGCTGCCCACAAATGTGGTGCCCAAGCACTATGAGCTAATCCTGCAGCCTGATCTGGAGGCGTTCAGTTTTACGGGCAAGACAATTGTGCAAATTAGTGTAAGTACCGTTACGTTTCGCTAAGTTTTTTTTTCGTTCACTTTCGCTTTCACTTTGACTATAAATCATAAATATGTATGTATGTGTGCCCTGCATGCAGCTCTCTTTTTCTCTCTTTAGCTCTGCGCGCGCGTCTGTGTGTGTGTGTGCATGTTTGTTTCATTTCTGACGTGTGCAAAAAACTCATACCTTCTCCCTTACACACACACATGAGCGCGGGCGCGCGCTCCGCCTAGCCTCTACGTGTGTGTGTGCCATTTTCTCTTTATGCTGCAATTTGCATGCAGGCGACGTTGACAAGGAAATGTTTCTTTGTTATGGGTTGACACCAAGCAATGACTGGCACTTATTGTGAATTTATTTGTTTTTATAGCGCACTGCGCCACACAATTTGCCAACGTTGCCACCCCCTTCCCGTTCACTGATCAACGCCGCCGCCGCCTCTGTCGATCTCATAACGGTATACACATTCTGTTTACCTTTCCGAAGACGCAGCAGCAACGGGTTTGGTCTTTGACTTTTTGATCGCCCATCAAAAAAACCATTTATAGAAAAAATTCAAAAAAAAAAAACAACAAAAAAAAAGAAGAAGATGATAAAATACATACTTGTGCAAATCTTAACGGCGGCTGCTGCTACTTTAACTGATATACAACCAAAAAGTTGGCCAAAACGGGTTTAAGGCAGCTGCCCAAAGCCGGAAACCGGGCTAGCAAAAATATTCGCATACAGTATATATTCGATATGAAGAACACGCGATTAGCCATTTTCTTATCCTATAAGATAACATGGAAAGAAAACAATTTAATTAGTTAATATACATAAATTGCTTTAGCTTTAGATATTATTCTGTTTAAAATTGGTTTACTGTAGGCAATGCTCACTGTAGATCAATTATGACCTTGAAATAACAGTATATTGCGAATCTGCTTTCGTTTGAATTGTTTCTACACGTTTTACCTTTTGTATTCTCTTTAAAAATGATTAGGAGGGGTATATTAGACTTGTGTGCATTTTTTGTAACAAGCTGAAAAAACATGCATGTGCTCTGATTTAGTCTCTTGTTTTGTAAATACTCGTTTATAATACGATTCGCATATTAAGTTTCTTTCATTTTTTTGATAACAGCCGCTGCTACGCTATAATTCCTCTATCTAATCGATTGTCACGTCTATCTTGAATCTTTTTTTTTTTTTTTTATCTGTATATGTACTTTGTAGAAGCATAATCTCTGTGCTTTTCCCCTTATTTCTATTTACCGCTTTTTCTTTCTCTCTTTCTGACTCTTACTCACACTCTCTTTTACTCTCACTCCCACAACCGTTCGTTCTTACTCTCTCCCGTTTACTCTCAATACCAATCTCTCCTCCTTTTCTTTTCACTCTCTCTCACTCTCTTGCATCTAAATGCTTACTTGAACTCATGAAAATCGCATAGAAAGGCGGCTCGACTAAACACTCACCCACTTTTATTCTTGGTCAAAATTCAAAGCATCATGCTAAAGGGTATCTGCAAGTCGCGCATTCTCACTGCATTTTTGTGCTAGTTGATGAACGCTGCACGATCATTGACTTATTGCCCCTTTTTTTTCCACGAGCCATGCTAATTGCTTGTTATTATTATGCTCGATCCAGGTCATAGAGCCAACGCGACGCATCACCCTCAATGCCCTGGACATAACCATCGAGGGGGCGGAGTTTCAGTATGAATGCGAGAAGCTGAAAGCGGATCGCATCACCTACTCCAAGGAGAATGAAACGGCCGTACTGGAATTCGGGGAGCAGTTGCCGGCGGGCACGGCCGGTGTGCTCTATATGTCCTTCACGGGCGAACTGAATGACAAAATGAAGGGCTTCTATCGGAGCAAATATTTTACGGCCAACGGTGAGGAGCGCTATGCGGGCGTCACCCAGTTCGAGGCGACAGATGCGCGTCGCTGTTTTCCCTGCTGGGATGAGCCGGCAATTAAGGCCACCTTCGACATAACGCTGGTGGTGCCCAAGGATCGGGTGGCGCTGTCCAATATGCCCGTTAAAAAGGAGGACATCCTGCCCAGCGGATTGCGTCGCGTGCGCTTCGATCGCACGCCCATCATGTCCACCTATCTGGTGGCCGTCGTTGTCGGTGAATACGATTTTGTGGAGGCCAAGTCGGATGATGGGGTCATTGTGCGCGTCTTTACGCCCGTGGGCAAGAAGGATCAGGGCCAGTTCGCTCTGGAGGTGGCCACCAAGGTGCTGCCCTACTACAAGAGCTATTTCAATATTGCCTATCCGCTGCCCAAGATGGATCTGATTGCCATATCCGATTTCTCCGCGGGCGCCATGGAGAACTGGGGTCTGGTCACCTATCGCGAAACCTTCGTCCTGGTTGATCCCAAGAACACCTCGCTCATGCGCAAGCAGTCGATTGCCCTTACCGTGGGCCACGAGATTGCCCATCAGTGGTTCGGTAAGCAGGCCGAGTCCAGAGTGCAAAGTTTCTCTCTAAAAATTGTGTATTTTTAGGCAATCTGGTGACCATGGAATGGTGGACGCATCTGTGGCTCAACGAGGGATACGCCTCGTTTGTGGAGTTCCTGTGCGTGCATCATCTGTTTCCCGAGTACGATATCTGGACACAGTTTGTGACGGATATGTATACGCGCGCCCTGGAGCTGGATTCGTTGAAGAACTCGCATCCCATCGAGGTGCCCGTCGGCCATCCATCGGAGATTGACGAGATCTTCGATGAGATTAGCTACAACAAGGGCGCCTCGGTCATACGCATGCTCCACGATTATATTGGCGAGGATGATTTCCGCAAGGGCATGAATCTCTATTTGACGCGGCATCAGTATAGCAACACCTGCACCGAGGATTTGTGGGAAGCACTGCAGGAGGCCAGCTCCAAAAATGTGGGCGCTGTCATGTCCAGCTGGACCAAGTACAAAGGCTTTCCCGTCATCAGCGTCGAGTCCGAGCAGAAGAGCGAGACGCAGCGTCTGCTGCGGCTAACCCAAAGGAAATTTACCGCCGACGGTTCAAAGGCGGACGAGGATTGCCTGTGGGTGGTGCCCATATCGGTGTCCACATCGCGAAATCCCAATCAGATAGCGAAGACTTTTCTGCTGGAAAAGGCCTCAATGGAGGTGGTGCTGGACAATGTCTCCGAGGACGATTGGATCAAAATCAATCCCGGCACCGTTGGCTACTATCGCACACGCTACTCCGAGGAGATGCTGGGTCAGCTGCTGCCGGCCGTGCAGAACATGGAGCTGCCGCCGCTGGACAGGCTGGGCCTGATCGATGACATGTTTGCCATGGTCCAGGCTGGGCAGGCCAGCACCGTTGATGTGCTCCAACTGGTCGGCTCCTATCGCAACGAGACCAACTACACCGTGTGGACGGCCATCACGAATTCGCTTGCCAACCTTCATATTCTGATCTCCCACACAGATCTCATGGAGGACTTCAACAACTTTGGACGCAGCCTGTACGAGCCGGTGGCCAAGCGTCTCGGCTGGGAGCCACGCGACAATGAGAATCATTTGGATACGCTGCTGCGCAGCCTGGTGCTGACACGTCTCGTCTCCTTCCGCAGTCCCGAAATCACGGAGGAGGCACGCAAGCGATTCCGCAGCCATGTCAATGGCACCAAGGCGTTGCCCGCCGATTTGCGCAGCACCTGCTACAAGGCCGTGCTGCAAGATGGCGATGAGGAGATCTTTGAGGAAATGCTCATGCTGTACCGTTCGACCGATCTGCACGAGGAACAGGATCGCATCAGCCGAGCACTCGGCTGCATTGGCGACGTTAAACTCCTCCGTCGCGTCATTGACTTTGCCATGTCGGTGAGTAGCCGGAGACGACTTATATATCTGCCGGGACTTTAATCTTGTTTGTGATCTTAGGGTGAGGTGCGCGCCCAGGACTCGGTGTTTGTCATTGTGGCCGTAGCGGTTAATCCCAAGGGTCGCGACATGGCCTGGGAGTTCTTCAAGGAGAACAACAAGCAGCTGCTGGAGCAGTATCAGGTAACTTTTCAAGCCTCAATTCCTTGAATCTTTCAACTGATACCAAATGTCTTTTTCAGGGCGGTTTTCTGCTGACGCGTCTCATCAAATATTTGATTGAGAATTTCGCCTCCGAGGAGAAGGCGCACGAAGTCGAGGAGTTCTTCAAAACCAATCTGATACCCGGCTGTGACCGCACCGTCTCACAGGCCGTCGAGACAATACGCCTGAATGCCGCTTGGCTGCAGCGCGATCGCGAGAAGCTGACCGAATTTCTTACTGAGGGGTAGGCGTGGCCCGGCATGACGACGCATACCAAAGCATTTAGCAACAACTACAACTATAACAAGAACACGACCAAAGCTGTCACAAAAACCCAAACCCCGCCCGCCCATGTCCCTCCCCCTGTTCCCGCCCCTAAGTGAGCCAAATAGGTTAGCATTATTAAGCAGCAACAACAACTGACTCCTCGGCATCCTCTCACGGCCCCGCAACCGGAGAGCCCAGCGGCATTTAATACCGAGTTCAAAGAAAAAAAAAAAACAAAAATGTGCACTTCTATTATACAAAAGTTATGTTGAATTTACGACGATAAATAAATAAATGCAATTCAAATTAAAAATAAGAGAGAATGCTCTTTCTGATATTATAGATTGTGATATTTTAGATTGTGATCTAATATTGATATTTACCTGATGGTGCTAAAGGTGCACGTTTTGATGGGGTTTTGGGAAATTCCATCCGCTTGATCCCATCCAACCATCCTTGGTGGAAATGTAAATGCCGTTTCGTGTTCAAATTTATATACGAAGATACACACTTTCACACTTTTCGCAGAATCCAACGTGGTTTTATGTTTGCATATTATATTATACATGTATGCAAACATGCATGCATGCATCTATGAACACATGTGCGTATACCTTTATACATGCCCACATACCTGCATGCATGCATCTATGAACACATGTGCGGATACCTTTATACATGCCCACATACCTGCATGCATGCATGCATGCTTACATACATACATGCATGCATACATACATACGTACATGCATGCATGCTTACGTACACACATACATGCATGCATGCTTACGTACACACATACATGCATGCATGCTTACATACATACATACATGCATGCATGCTTACATACATACATACATGCATGCATGATTACATACATATATACATGCATGCATGCTTGCATACATACATACATACATGCATGCATGCTTACATACATGCATGCATAAATACACACGTACATACATGCATGCATAGACACAAACATATGTATAAAAATACATACATACAATGTGCGCAAAAAAGAAACACCAAAAAAAAAAGCACCAAAAAAAAAAGCACCAAAAAAAACAAAAAAAAAAAACACTACACTACTAGGCAAGCGTGGAAGCCCGCTGAGCCTACTTGAATTCTTGAGAATCGAGGAGGAGAGCACTTGGTAGAAATTCGTTGAATTTAAATTTGCAGCACGGCGACAAATAAGCTTAGTCGACGTTTGGCATTAGAAAACAAACATGCAAGCTTACATATGTAAATGCACACACACAACATACAAACATACAAACATACACACATAAATAAAGACACACACAAATATATAATAGTTAACTACAAAATACTTGGGTGAGATATACAAATAATTCAATTTCTTGAAAACTTTAAATGTTAAGAATTCGGGTTAATAAAGTCTGAGGATATTATAAAATCTGCGATTCGTATCTCAGGCTCAATTAGATGGATTCTTCAAAATCCAAACATGTGACTCGTGATTAATTTTACAATAAGAACATTTAAATCTTTAATAACCTTCAAACTACGTCTGGAACATGTGCCTATATTATTTTTGGTTCATCGTTGTTGTTGTTGTTATTGTTGTATTCAAATTTCAGAGATTTGCGTTTGAGCTCCTGGGAATGTGCCCAGAAGTTGGCCAAACGCTGATCACTGTTCGAGCAGAACTCACGGAAATCCTTCAACATTTTCAGCTGGAAAAGTTCGCCGTCGGCGGAGTTGTTGATGGTCAATGCTTTCCATTTTTTGTTTGGTATCATGTGATTCCAGGACCAGAGGAAGCCCACCTTCTTGGGCACATTCGTATTATTCGTATGCCCATAAACGCAACGCGTGACGTTCGCCTCCTGGCGACTTGGTGACTCCACCTGAAATTTGTTGCTGGCGCAGCTGAAAGACAGATGGGAATGAGCTGTTGTCCAGGATATAATTACTTTTTAGTGTTTACCGTATAAGCGCGAACATATTGCCAGTGCAATGCACGTACTGGTATTCTTTGGGCAGCTGCAATAAAGTAAATCGGATGAGAGCAAGAGCTCCAATTTGCGCAGATTTCGGCATGACTTACGTCTTTCTTTTGGGTGAACTTCTCCTCAAGCACACAGGGCATAAACCCAAATCTGGCCAAAATAGCCTCCTGCAGGAAGAGCATGCGATCTGCACGGCTGTCCTCGGGAAATTCTGCAATGAAAAAAACAGTAAGCAGCAAGAAGAAAGATCAGAGCGGGCTGTACAGACCGTCAAAGAGAGTGGCGCCATTTGGCAAAAAGGTGACGCACAGTGGAATGAATATGGGACCACGCAACGGATCCGACTTCTCTGTAAACGGCTCGGCCATGGGATCAGCCGGCACGGAGACCAGCTGATAGCCACAATGATTCGCCTTGCGCATCCAGCCCGAAATCTGCAAAGAAACTCGTATTAATAATGGGCAGCAAAAGTTTTTGCTGTAGCAGTTACCAAGTCCGATACAATGGGTCCCGACGAGGTAACCCACTCAACGACCAGCTCAAAGGCAAAGCCTGGCTGCATCACCGTGTGATGCTTCACATGACCCCATTCCATGCGATCGCTTTTCTGATTGACATCAATCTCCAAATGCGACTTGCGACAAACGCGCTCTGCAAGCAAATCAATTTATTTCAGTCAAAATAATTTTAGTGGGCAACCGAATACTCACTGCTCTTGCAGTATTCGCGCCAGGATTGCGGTGCGGGCGTCTCGCGCAAAAAGTTTGGCACATTCGTGGGCGCCGGCTCGTCGTGCCACAGAAAGCTGCAGCCCTGCAGCTCAATCTCCAGCCACTCGTTGACAAAGGCGCTGTAATCGTTGAGCGGCGGCGCGTAATCTGTTTGGACGCAACATGTGGGATTAGAGGGAAGCTGCTAGGCATCAGTTGAACTCACCCTTGGCATTCCTGTCCTGCTGCACCACATAGTAGAAGACAAAGCCCGGCACAATGGGCTGATTCCAGTCGCCGGAGGCGTGGCAAATCATGCGCTCCCTGCGAAAGACAACAAACGTCAATGAGTATCAGCCTGGGCAGCTGGTCAAAGCCATCGACAACTCACTTTCGCATGGCCTCCAGCAGATCCAACGGATGGCGACCGTTGGTCAGGCGCGCCTTCAGCCACATCAGCGCATCGTAGGAGATGAAGGTGCAGGAGGGCAACGATTGGGTTTGTGTGAAGAAGCCAACGCCATTAACTGGATGCTTCATGGCCTCAAACATCTCCGCGAGCGTTGCATTTGCGCTGAACTTGATGTCCACGGGGAAGCTAAGGAAGCGATACTAATAATTGAAGCCAAGGCACTACGAGATTGCTCGCTTACCCATCATCCTGGTCGTCGCGTGGCACAACAGCCGAGGCTGCAGCTGTCGCCGCATCCGTGCCGGGAAGGATGCGCGAAATGCGACTCGGATCTGGTTTGGGGCGAACATTGATGCTGTGAAGTAAGAAATACGATTAATAAAGCTCACCAATTGCAAATGCATAAAAACCGTGGCTGTGGACTGGTTGTGGGAGGATAGGAAGTGAATCTGAATGTTTGTGTACGAATTACTAGTGCAGGTTTCTTTTTCAATTACAATTTTGCAAACCAATTGTAAGGGTGCGGTGAGTATAAGTTAATGATGCACGTGTGGTGAATAATGTGTGGGTGTATAGAAAGGTCAATATGTGTGCAAGTGTAGATTTTACCGTTCACTCTTTAATAGGGTGGTGAGTTTTCATGAATAATGCATGTGTGAGTGTGTAGAAATGTCAAAATTTGTGCAAAATAGCAAGTGTAGTATACCGATCTCTCTTTCTCTCCCACTTGCTTCAAATTTAGGTAATTGTAAAGGGTGGGGATTTTTGTTTGTTGGGAACAGGATGGGTACAACTAGGATAAATACGCTAGACTTGAACAAACCTTTGCTGTGGTGGGTTTAATAGATTATGATTCTTTTCAGTGATTCTAGGTGTGGGTGTGTCATGCTGCTGAAAGCCAAATACCAAATTAAATAGTAATAAGGAAAAAAAAAAGATAAAGAGCCGAGGCATTAAATCGCAATTAAAAATATAAGTATATATGTATATAAGTAAAATACGCTACAAGCTAAGTGCACAAACAACATAGAAGAGCTACAAAATCAGTCATCAAGTTGTTGTAGAGTACAGCGGGGCAGGGTAGGGGGCGTTACAACAAAGAAAGCTCAGCTCGCAGGCGCATAAATACTTATACAGATGCAAATCGCTGTGTATGTGTGTATGACGAGTGTATATACGTGTGTGTGTGTGTGTTCTTTTGTATTTGGATACGATATAAAAACCTGGGTCTCTTCTCCGGCAGGCGATTGCTGCCGACACGCTCACGGAACGGTGAATTTGTGAGTCCCTGCAGGGACGAGTTGCAGTTGCGCAGTACACAGACAGAGAGGTTGGCGTTGAGAGGGGGCAGGCGAGACGGAAGACATTGAAGAAGATTAAAAATATGATGAGCAACAACGCATTTAAATAATAATATTATGAAAATAAAAACGTGCGCAAATCGAACACAAAAAGGACAAAATTGAAACAGAATGTGCGCAACGCCAAAAAACAAATTGAAGATTCGAAGATTAATATGTATGTAGTTAGATAGATAACCTGGTTGAGAGGCCTGGATATAATGCTCGTACTGTGTCGTCGCTTGGTTAGGCTGTGGGTGGTCGGGCTATCCTGTAAATGTACATTATGTTAAGCGGTAAGCACTACAATAACATTGGCATAAACGTATGTAAGTGACAACAGCTCTGTTAATACTGCGAACGATGTAACTAAAACTGGAACTGGAACTAGAAATCGATTAACAATCGATAACAACATTTGAATCAAAAGAAACAATAACAAACTAAACAAAAATTGAAAAATATATATGTATGCATATTCGTGGACAGCTTACGCGCGCTTTGCGGCAAATCTGCCGCTTCAATTTGCTGACATTCTCGATGAGCCGTATGAAATCCTCAATCTGCTCGCGCGTATTGTCCACCACGGCATCCGTGAAGATATCGCAACGCTGACAGCCAAAGCTGACGATCTTATTGACCATGCTCTCGCGTGGCAGCAGATACATGCGGAAACGCCAGTACTTGAGGCTCTGCAAGAAGCCAGGAGAAGATTGAATGCGGCTGCGGCGCGGATCACAATGCTTACCTCCATAAGTGGATAGTCGACATCGCCACGCGTGCATATATAGAGATCCATGTGATTCCAGCTAAAGTTCTCCAGCTTTTCCGTGGTGAAATTTACGCCAGATATCTCATAGGTCTCATGCTGCGGCGCATGGAAACGATAGCGATAATCCACATTGATGGGCGGATAGGGATGCCTAACGGAAGCGAAAAGGTATTTACAAAAAGTACAAAATTCCTTTTAACAAATCAACTCACCTGGGCCTGTAGCCAGTTACAGTGATAACCGAACCGCTCAGCGTGATCTTGTGAAAGATGCGTCCAATGGACAACAGATACTCCCTGTTCAATTCGCAGGACGCCTTCAACGGCAGCACTGCGGATGTGGTTGGATTGCTGGCAGGAGCACAGCTGCCGCTGGCTGAGCAGCAGCTGCTGGCGCTGGGCTGTTTCTCCTCAACGACAATCAGCTGAAAGCCCTGGGCCAAACGCTGTGACACAATCTCCTTGCACACCTCCTCCGTGGACAGCGGTTTGCGATAGACGGCGCGACTCTTG